AAAACAACAAAAACAAAGGCGTTTTTTCCTACACTAGTCAGATCCAAAAACTGGGAGATTTGTACTCGCTAACACTGATAAAAGATATAAGAACGGTACAAAAACGATGGAGTACACTGTGCTAACAGCAACTGCACTAAGATCATGAGAGTGCATTATTTATGTCATCTCATTGTGTGTATGCCATCTACAGGATTCTTTCTGACACCGACCTGATCTGTTTCTTTTTTTTATGCTTTCCAAATATGACTCAAACTCAGTCTATCTTTTCCATTTCAGCAAGAGACACGTCTGTGCATCAACGACATGCTGAATTTCTTTGGTGGGAAGAACAAAAAAGTCCTTGAATGCCAGCGGAGTCCCGATTTGGTCGTACAGGCCGGTCCCTGTGAGGTGAGACAGACTGGAGACTACAGATCAGTGCAGTCAGAAACGGCTCCTTCCGGAATGGAATGTTTTATGCAACTAACATCGAAGGAGCCTTTCTCAACTGTGTGCTTGAATGAGCATCCAACTTAAGCTTAAGCAAACATACAACATTAATAACGTAAGTCTATTGGCATTCTACGTCATAACACGCAGCTTTATGAATCAATCTGACGAGCTTCAGTTGGAAGGCTTGAGTTACAATGGTGTCAAACCTTAGCCGAGCACATTGGACAATGCTTTCTACCAGATGTAGAATACTAAATATCACAATTACACAGTGACCACCAGAAATCAAAGAGACGATGCTTGAAATATATAAAAAAAGACAATTAATGAATAAACATCCACAAACATTATTGCAATACTCTATACGAGAACACATCATAACTAGCAACAGAATAACATAAACTACTTCAAATGCAAGTAGGGCAGACGGAATATACTGTAATTCATACTCTATAACAGGGATCACCAAACTTGTTCCTGGAGGGTCGGTGTCCTGCAGATTTTAGCTTCAACCCTAATCAAACCCACCCAACAAGGTAATCAAGGTTGTACTAGGTATACCTGAAACACCCAGGCAGATGTGTTGAGGCAAGTTGGAGCTAAACCCTGCAGGGAGCCGGACCTCCAGGAACAAGATGGGTGACCCTTGCTCTATAAGAATGTGCACGTTAGACAACATCAAAACAAAACAAGCACTGTGTCCTAACCAGATGCATAAAAAACGCAAAAGCAAAGCCAATCCATATCTGAGGTTTAGCTTTAAGTTATGCAAACTATTCTGAACCAATGAGATTTCACTGAGGGCGGGGCTAAACAGTAGATATTGCAGCAGGTGTTCTGTCTATTCTTGCTTTTATTTTTGTCACTTTTTTATATTTATTCCAATCTATTAAATAATGATATAATATATTTTTTTTAGTTGTTTAGTTTTTCCTTTTCCTTATGGTTGTACTGATTTTCAAGTTTGTGGGTGCCACAGTTTAATTTAATTTTTATTTATTTATTTATTTTAAGTTTCATATGCTGCATTTATTTGGCCAAAAGTACAGTAAAACAGTAATACTGTGAAATATTGGTACAATTTTGAATATCTGTTTTTTTGTTAAATATATAACATTCTTTTGTTTTCCTGCAATTTATTCCTAAGCAAAGCACTTTTTTAGCATCATTACTCCAGTCCTCAGTTTCACACAATCCCTCTGAAATCATTTTATCATGCTGCATTTGGCGAAGAAACATTTATTACAGCTATTGTTATTTTTCATTAACTTAATATTTTTGTAGAAATTGCAACCCAGGCTCATTCTGATAATGTAACTCTGTATACAGCTTATTCCAAAGAGGTGCGCTATCTGCACTTAGCCTAAATAGACACTTTAAAATCGGCATTTTAACCAGTTAAACTCTATAGTATAAGATAACACACACAGCTGCCTAAAGAATGGCGTTTTCACACCGTTTACAGGTAGCTCACGTGCTCAGTATACTGGATCAGTTCAGTATGCTTACCATGTTACATAACTGCCCCCTGCTGGCCATGTATTTCTTGTGTTAGACCATGTTGCGGGTTCACGCACTTTACTGTGGAGGTGTGTCGCGCGTTCTCATTAGCCATTTCTGTACATTACTGGAGACCGTTAAATATTTCCCAGGAACTACGTTTTTTTGCAGTTTTTTTTTTTTTCACAAATCCACGAGAGGCCACTGTGTACGCTTTTTGAGATCTCAAATTTCTCTCGCAAGTGCCATAAGTGCCTGTTGTTCTCCACCAGAGTGCGCTGTTGACTGACTGTTTGACTGACTGACCCACCCCTTCCTTCCCTTAACCCAACCAATAGTATTTTAAAAAACACAGATTGACCTGCCCACCCGCTTTCCTAAAACCAACTGACAAACTTAAAAAGCAATTCAGAAAAAGAAAAGCCTGATTTTTACCATGTTTTACCACATTTTCACCTTGTTATTTACTTGTTCATTTAATTTTCGTGTTCTGTTTTTGTTTTACCCGCTTTCTGGAAGCGTTTTTCACCAGACTCGAACCCCATCAACCTGGTCATCTCCTCTTAGAGTCTAAAGTCCACCGATGTACATGAAGAGCTAACTGGACGAACTGGTAACAGCTAAAAAGCCGTCCATACAAAGGTAATAAGTAAGCTGGTAAAGGAACGACAACATACTGCCATGTAGTGTTTATTTAAAAAATTTCATGCAGTACGCATGAGTACTTCTGGCTACATAATTCCCGATCTCCAGAAATGTATATAGGACTACGCTTTCAGAATGAGCCTATGTTGAAAAATTGTGAGGCAGTTTTTTCATGATACTTCGAAAAATAGAACGTTTAAAAGAACAGCATATACTTAAAATAACATTTTGTAAAATTAAAAATGTCTCTTTTTTCACTTTTGATCAATCAGTGCATTTTGAATAAAAGCATAGTTTTCTTTCTTTTTTTAATTATGACACATAACACCAATATGTTTAAAGATAGAGTATAAATAATATACTATATAATTCTTTCTTATCTTTTAAATAACTTTACTGCAGAGCTCATGGTTAGGACACGGTGTAAATGATTGGCTAGCATATCAACTTTAAATTAAGCAGCAATAAGACAAGCATTGGCCCACAGTTTTCTACACTTTCATTATTTCTTTACTGACGTGACACCGGTAGCATTAGTGAGTCCTACAGTAAGACAACCAGTGAAAAAAAGACTAAGCCAATTTTGATTTCCGGTGCATGTTGTTCTTGACATCCTCATGCAGTGGGGCTGTTTGGACCCCTAAAGTGTACGTGAGAATCAAAACCCCACAGATCTTTGCAGAACCTCGACTGAGCACTTAACTCAGAGTGTGGTGTGCAGTCACGCTGCACGGCTTCCTTCAGCATCTACAATACCAACATGCTCAAAGCCAACATGCTAATTCTCATTAAAAATGTGGAATTCGCCCTCTCGCTTCCCAACAATTCCCATCAAAATCCACAAGTTCGCAACCTCATCCACTCCTAACAAGAATCTCCTTCTCGAACCCTCCCAGGTTTCTAAGCCATTTCTGCTTCTGGCTCAAGCCCAGCCTTCCATAAACAGACAACCTCTTTAGACCTGGTGTGTTTTATTTTAATATTAAACAAATTGTGCTCCCGATCTCAAACTGATTGAATGATACTTGGCTTTTTCCGTCAAATATACTTTTAGTCTCCCTTTCATGACATGTACAGCATAAATCAGGTGTCATTGCATTGATCGCAAGGTGACTAAAACGCATAGCTACGGTATGTACAGTAAATACGCTATATATAATTATATCCACTATCCAGAACAAAAGTTACTTATCTTTAAAATGACGACTTTGGTTCATTACCCCAGGCAAGTACGTTTATCTTTAAATGTAAAAGACCTCATGCACGCTAAACGAGAAGCATTTAAATAACGTTTAGGGCTATCGCTTACGCCTGGAACTTAAAGAACAAAACAAAACACACACACAGGAAACAGCTCGGATGAAAATGTTCAACCTAGGAGCCAACTCTCTGACTAGCATCTGGTTCTAGAGGGTTTCCAGCCAAGTAAACTGTCGTAATATATGTAAGGCACTACGAGGTAACAATGATAAACCTAAGACTGTGGAGGAATACGTCGCACAGATGTGCTGAGCGCACACATGCACGCAAACGCACAACTGACTACCGTGTTGAACATGCCTATGTTATTGTAACCACTTTGTGCAATCACATTGAAAGAGGAAAAACGAGTATCTATTGGTATCAGAAAGGTTCTTCATTAAATCAACGGGTGCAGACTGCTACATTCTACAAAGAGGGGCCCAGCTAACGAACTACGGTATGACAAACATATTTCCTTTTCTAATTGTGAACACAAAACAAAGAAAAGTCTATAAATACACTAAAAAGTTTTGTCGTCCTATTTCCAGAAGTTTCCTCCAGGTGTTTTTTTTCTTCTTTTTTCGGAGAGAGCGCAGCGGAGAATGCACAATACCGCTCGTCGCATTTAATTTGGAAACGTTTAAGACAGTTCAAGGCCATCGTTGTTGTTTTTTTCTTTGAAGAGCAGCAGATATCCGTATTTCACCTTATCCAAAAAAAAATCATGTAGGAATTCACAACATCCACGTCGTGACCTCGGCTCAACAGTCAGTGAATGATTTCAAGAAAGCGAAAAGCAAACAAAATCTCCGCTGAATGGAACTCTGTCTCTCCCAAACGGCCTGTTGATGAGACCTTGTTGCGAAAGAAAAACAAAACAAAACTCCTTCTGTTTTAAAAGAAACAAAACCTCCAGATCAAGAAATAAAACGTTAACTGGCCCTTTTGAGAAGGCGAAATAAAACTCATCTGAAAAGAAAGTTCCTCAGTACCCTTCTGTTCCCTCTCAGAGTACACTTCCTCTATCCGTCGGCGTCTTCATTGTCTTCAAGTTTAAGCATGACAGGAACAAGGGGATGGGGTTAAGGGTCGATAGGCTTCAGCATGTCTCTCTGTCTCTAGGTGGGATAAGGGGAGAAATGGTAAGCAGCGATTGGCTGGGCTCCAGTGTTTCAGCTTTAGAGGTAAGGGTACTGGTTCATCTTGGTGGGGCTCAGCGGGTATCCAGTGTAGACAGTGGAGGCAGGAGAAGCACTGATGTAGGTCTGGTGCGCAAATTGGGCCTGGTATTGGCCATGGTGAAGGGTGGGCGAGGGCAGCACGCGGTGACCCATGCTAACAGGCACCTGGTGGACAATGCCTGGAGGATAGCTGGCGTGCTGGACTGCGTGACGAGCTGAACCCTGCGAAGCGACCAGGTGGGCCACTGTGCCAGTGGAGCCCAGGGCAGCAGGGGCAGTGTAAGTGTAGAGGTGTGGTTGCCCAGGCAGATGTGGAGCGGCCAGGTGCGGGTGAACGTTAGCCGTGTGGGTGGGGCTGTTGTGGAAGGAGTACTGCGCCTGGGTGGCCATAGTGGGGGTGATGTATGCCTGCTGCCGACGGTGACCTCCGTTACGCTCAACTGCCATGTGCTGCTGGGCCTAAATGAGGTGATATGACCGTATTACTTTTATAGATTAATATATGATCTATGGCCCCGTTTACACTACCAGTTAAAAGTGACCCAGTTCTGATTTTTTGCTCATATGTGACACAGATCGGATCTGTTCTATGACCGTGTAAAGCAAGACAATTTCTTCAATCGAGGCTAGTGTGGCGCAGATGCTAAAACCCACCTTTACGCATGCACAACATTGTAATTTTTATGGTAAGTGTGAACACATGAATTGGTTATGGGTCACAATTACAAGAACGTGTTAATGGACAGGCAAAAAAAATTCAGATATAGGCAACAAATCGGAATTGGGCATCCAGACCTGACAGTGTAAACGGGGCCTAAGAAAGCTGATATAAGATGATCAATGGAAATACCTGGCTGAGATTTAGAGGCTGCTGCTGAAAGGGGTGTGGTCCTGTGCGCTGCTGCCGGTATGCCCCACCTCCTGTCACTCCTCCTGATGTGTGGTTGTTGCCAGAGAAGCCTCCATTGGAGGTTTTGAACTTGTAGGTGGAGTTCTGGTGGTTCATGACATCTGCTGGAATTGATCAAATATATTAAGCAATTTTTTTTTTATGAGTAACAACAATAAAGCTGGCATCTCAATTATAACAGTTCCATTTCCTAAAGTAAATAAAAAAATAAACGATAATCGGATTAGAGATGTCTAAAGAAATAAATTGTTTTCTAAAGAAAATTAATTAATGTATTTATTACAATATACTCCTTATAATTGTTTAGATTTTATAAGGTGATAATGAAAACACAGTGTTGCCAGATTGGGCGGTTTTAAATTTGATTGTGCGGGTAAAAAAATGGCATTGGCGGATTGACAAAATATGGGTGTTTTTGAAACGAAACTTTTAGTTGCAACTTATTCAACAAAACATAACTCTTGTGCTCCTACTCCATTAAGTTAGTAGTGACCAGTGCATAGCGCAAACCACGTGCGCCCAACAACAAGAGGAGGTGAAGGAAAGTTGTATCAAAATCGGACTCCTTGGACAAATCGGTAACACTTTACAATAAGGTTCATTAGTTAATGCATTTACTAACATGAACTAATCATGAACAACACATGTACAGCATTTATTAATCATAATTGAACATTTACTAATGCATTATTAACATCCAAGTCCATGCTTGTTAACATTAGTTAATGGACCATGAGTTAACATGAACTAACAATGAACAACTGTATTTTCATTAACTAACGTTAACTAGCATGAACAAACACGGTAGTAAATGTATTATTCATAGTTTGTTCATGTTAGTAAATGCATTAATTAACATTAACTTATGAACCGTATTGTAAAGTGTGACCGACAAATCTAACTCCCCTCTTGTGCACACACATCACGCAACGCCTGCAGTAAAACTCACAGGGGTTCATCATGACATTTTATTAATTATTTTCCACAATTGACAGCAAGAACAAACTTAGAAGCATTGTCTGATTGACAAGCAGCACCTAATTATGTTCATAAGAATTTAAAACACCAACCGGGGCGAATTTACCCTATTTCAAAAGTAAAACATACTCTAACATTAAGTGCAGTTTGTGGGTGAGAGGGGGCCTGCTGTGGTTCTGTGACTGCTGGTGTTGGTTGTTGTATAGTTAAAAATATCACAGTCAAAGTAACTAGCTTAATTTAAATACATTACAATTAAATAAAATATTAATCTAATATTTTGGGGATTTTTTTGTGCGCTTTGGCGGGTTTTGGACAGATATTGGGCTGGAAAAAGTCCGCTATATCTGGCAACACTGAACATAACATATATTTAAACATATTTAGATTATATTGTGTTAAATATAAATTAAATAGAAGTGGAATATATACATTTAAAAATATAAAATACAGATTATATTGTGTTAATTGTAGTAAGTGTGTAAATATTATCATTAAAATGTATTTCACAGCAGAATGCTATGACTGACAAATTATAAAGTATTCCTGAACTCTGTATAATACTATTTAAAAAACAATAACAGTCATCCCACTTGAGCTTGCATTGTCATAAAATATTCCTCTGGCAAGCTTAGCTGAATTACCTCTCAAACTATATTTACAACCCATAGATTCTGAAATGCCACATAAATCTGCGCTGCATATCAGAGGCTGTCAGTGAATTGTCACTTTAAATTGATGCTTGATTCAGGCCCTGCCAGAATCCCCTTTTTCTCTGTCATCTTATCAGCCTTTCCCCTGTCTCACCAGGCAAGAGTCTATCACACTCTCCCAGATTTTCGCTGGTCTGGCTCTTCAGCGGGGGGATGATGATGGTGCGGGGGTTCCCATTGCTGTAGTTATCCAGGACTGCACCTTTAGAGTCGTAGCCATTGGCGTTGGGGCCATTGGTCCGGGAGTCCACAGCGTAAGGGCTGGTATTGCTGGAATCAGAGTCAGGGGAATCGTGAACGGTCACACAGCTGATGACATTCTTCCTCTGTTTGGATGATGTGCTGTAAACAACATAAAACCGTAGGTTAATTATAATGCTTGAGTGACTCGTTAGAAATACAAACAAAGTGGTTTGCTTGTGAGGTTATTCAAGCACTTTTTGTGTAATGATACTTCACTGTGTATTTGTTGAGCAGTACATAAAGCTCCCCAAACCCCATAATTCATTGTTAAGGCATTATCTAGTATTTTCCCTGATCTGAATAGGCATTTAAATGTCAAAATGGAGCCTGGACTTGTAGCTCATGATTCATCAGTGATTCCACAAATAGTTTTTTATAAACGTTCATCAAATTGTAATAGCTTTGCCTCTGAAATGACTTTGACAAAATCAAGCACACAGGATAGGGAAAAACATTAACAAATAACATTAATCAAGCTCACCTTAACTTATATAGCACATTAAACAATATAAATTGTTTATTTTTCCTGTTGAACATAAAACACTGTATTTAGAAGAATCTTTGGCCCTGTTTACACTGCCACTACTTTAAATGAGTCCGATTTACTATACAATAAACTGCAACTCCATTTCAGGAAAGACAGAGTTAAGATGCCGTTCTTTTATCCCACGTGGATGCTATGAGGATAAACACAGGACCAAGACCTTAAGCATGGTGAGAATCAATGAATGAATGAATGGCAGCTTCTAAAATTGTCCTAGAGGCATCTCCTTTTTGCCCAGTGAGCCTACCCTGTGTTTCATTTGCTATTTTAAGCTATTTTTAAAAGATAAATATAATGTATAAAACTATACATTATTTATATTACTTCATAATACCTATAAATCTGATAAGCTTTTTATATTAATGCACAATGCACAGATATTGATGTTTCGCAATGTTTTTACACTACATTATTTGACTCTACCAAGCTTAGCTTACAAAATTTGCAATGTTTACATTATTTTATTTACATTAAATCTAAATCCTAAATATCAAAAATGACAACAGATAGTAAAGATTTAATTAATTTCAGTTTAATGTTATCGATTCATGAACTTACTTGACAGATTTCATTCATTCATTTTCCTTCTGTTTTTTCCCTGATTTATCACAACGGAATGAACCACCACTTGCTTGACAGATTTATATATTTTAAGTTTCAGGTGGTTTGTGTAATGTGTTTAATGTTTGGTAAAATAATTTCTAATGGCATCTTCATTTTTAGCTAATTACACTGTCTTGTTCCAATAGGTGGATTTTGAGGGTTTTGCATAAAAAGCAGATGTGGATTTAGCTGGTTTTAATGGTTTATGCAATATTCCAGTTTTGCGCAAAGTATAATTCGCGTCTTTGGATGGAAGCATAGCTAATAGCTACCAGTTTCAAACATTCTTAAAAATATCTTCTACTGTGTTCAACAGAAGAAGAAAACTCAAACAAGTCTGGAATAAGCATAATGATGGGTTCCACACAATTGATTTGTGTTGGGACAACATGAAGGAACTAAGTTACCTTGTTTGTTTTTCTAAATTTAAGTAGATTGAACATAAAACAATTAAGTTGTCCTAAAAAAACCTCAAAAATTGTATCATTTCATTTATTCATCCAATCATTCATTCATTCATTCATTCATTTATTCATTCATTCATTTTCTTTTCAGCTTAGTTAGTGGTTCATTCAGCTGTGGCGACCCCAGAATAATAAAGGGGCTAAGCCAATAACAAATAATAAATAAATGATTTTTTTAAAGCTAATTAATTAAACTAACAAGTAACTCACATTATATTTTCAAAACAGTAACTTAAATATTATTACTTTAAAAAAAAAAAAGTAATGAGTTACTTTACACTTTGAAAATTAAATGATTGTTGATGCTGCAAAATTAATTAATCATTAAACAGCTTGGGTTCATATTCTTTAAATAAAGCAACTCTACAGACGACAATAGTCTCCTCATCCAGCTAAGATTTATTCAATAATCCAAACATTAACACAATCTAATCAATTCCTACTGGAAAAAAAAAACAGATTATGCCCTACATCATTTCCCGCTTTAGCTCACAAATATGTCTCATTACAGCTCGACCCATTTTTCTGACCTGGTGTTAGTGGGTTGTTTGAGGTCATCCTCCTCATCCGTGTCACTGCTGATGGTGATGATGCTGACCGCTGGGCTCGGGGTGTCGGGGATGATGATGGTTTGGCGTGGTGGGTTGTGTTGACCGTGGTGGTCTCGAGTAGTGCTACATGCCTGTTCACCTCCCCATCCACCGCCTGTGCAGGTCTGTGATGGGACGCAGGTAGAGGGAGGGCCATTTTGAACCACGGCACAGCGAGGCGGGGTGTTCTCTTTCACCCGTTTGGAGCGCTGAGGTGACGTCACCGGCTGGGTGGAGGACACGTCGTACGCTGACATGTTCCTGTGAAAGAAAAATATCAGTACTTTTGTAATATATTTATTTAATAAGGGTGAGTAAATGATTATTTCAGTTTTGGGTGAACTATCCATTTAAGTGAGCTATTTAGAGAAATAAAAACATTGATAAAAATGACAGAACACTTGTAAATGTACCCGCAAGTTGTTGCTGTTAATCTGGTGTCTGCTGGCAAATTCCTGAATTATCTGACAAGCCCTATTTAACTGGCAGCTTAACTTTCCAGTTTTCACTGACTTGGCAAGATGGTAAGCTGTTCTAAAGTGTCTGAAACCTAAAGCCATCCTAAAGGGACTACAGCAACATGTGGAGTCTTCCCTGTGCATCACTAATGTGAAAGACTAGTAATGTGCTGTGGCTGCAGATGTGCTGTCATTCAAGGGCCTGTCCACTTTATGTTCATGTTTGACTCCAGTAGTGTAACCTTCAGAAATTTTAGTTGTGTATTCCCTTTTTATACTACAATTGCTTTAAAGGGATAGACCATAAAACGAAAAATTCTGTCATCGTTTACTCTCCCTTCACTTGTCACAAACCTGCTTAAGTTTCGTTTTACTGCTAAAAATAAAAGAAGAATGCTAGAAACCAGTAACTATTGACTTCCATAATATTATTATTATTATTATTTTAAGTGAATGGTTACCTAATTCCAGCTTTCTTCAAATACTGTCCTAATAGTTCATCAGAATCAAGAAACCAGAGCAGCAATTGAGGGTGAGTAAACAGTAATTTTTCATTTTTAGGTAAACTATCCCTTTAATCCCAGTGATCCTTGTGACACCCCATCCCAAAAAAGGTTTTTTGTCAAAGTTGAACACTTAAAACAATATCCTGTCTGATTTCCACCGAATCAAAACACAGTAAATCTGGTGCATTTTTGTTGCTTGTTTGTTTAAAGTAAGGGATATCTGACCTGTTGTTCATCTGGTGCTGCTTGCTCTTTTTGGAGTTTGATTGGTTGTTGGATGGCTGTCTCATGACATGAGCCACACCCACATTAAGAGGTTGCTGAGGGGGCAGGGTGACGTGACCTGCCAGTAAGGCTGGCTGTTGCATAATGGGATTGTAATGGCTGCCATGGGGATGGGAATTCCTGAAACAAACAAAACAAGCATGATTAAAAAATGTCCTTTTATGAGTGCAGAAATGTTTCAAAGTGTGGAATTGGCAAGAGCTTGTAATGTTTTTATAAAAAGTAAAGCATCTTTCTCACCAAGGTTGCAGTTTTTTTTTTAAAGAACAGTTACATTTTAATTTCTTTCTGAAATAAAAAAAGTTGATATTTCAGTATTTCTTTACTCGCCAATGTCACATAATCCAAGAGGTTTTTCTAATATGCTGATTTGATGCACAATTCACATTTCTTACGATTTTCACTGTTGAAAATGGTTGAGCTGTTTATCCTATACAGTCTTCCACCAAAAAAACATCTTCACAAGAACAGCAGTTGTTGTAAACATTTAAATGTCATAAATGTAATGCATTCTTGATTAATAAAATAAAACCTAATCCCAAACTTTAAGCACTAACATTAAGGACACACTTAACTACAAGCTTTAATCAATGTTAGTAAAATTGAAATGAACTAAAAATGAACTAAAATACTTGTACAGCATTTATTATTAATAACACCTACTAATGCATTATTAAAATCTAAAATTGTGCTTGTTTACATTAGTTAATGCACTATGAGTAAAAATGAACACATAAACTAATGTTGCTAATTAATGTAGATGGAATAATGTCTGTATTCTGTCAACCCTCCTGTTTTTCCCGAGATTCTCCCGTTTTTTAGTTCTATCCTGCTAACATCCCGTAAAGGTATTTTCCCATATTTCTCCCGTATTTTCATTCTTTCTATGAAGGGTGGCAATAAACATTAAGAGCCAATGCAACCCATACCGCTGAGCCACCAGGGGGCGCCCCTTGCTCTTCAATGAGAGTCTGTTCTGTGCATTCGTTTTATTTAGGCAAGAAAACAAGAAAGAAAATATACAAATAGCGCGATTCCCTTCTTTTTCATTACAGGAAAATGAAAACGCACCCCTCGACGCACTCTATAGTGATAAATAGACGTTTTTTCCCAAACAGATTCTGCACATACGATTTGAAGTGGAGCGAAAGTCTGGGTTTTGGGTGCATGTTTGAACAGACATATCCACATAATTAATAATAATAACATCTAAAGATGTCGATCTTGGTGGGGTTTTTTTTCAAACACAACTAATTTTGTGTTAAATGAGCATAAAATTTTTTTTTAAAGTGCATCTTTAAAGTGACGCTTATCAAAAATCTAAATGAATGATATTTATTCGTTGCTGTTTAATCAGAATGTGTAATTTATACAGTGAAGAACAGATTAATGAGATTTGATAACTTGATTCTATTTCTTTATAGTAGCTATTAATTTTAATAAGCTAAACTGTTTGCTAATTTATTTGCTGCTAATGTATACTATTTATTTTTTCCTTTGTAAATAGTAATAATAAAACTTATCACTGACTATTTAAACTGTTTATTTACAATAAATTGGCTACAAACATATATATATTTATTGATTAGGGGAAATTTTATTTATTTATTTTATGGTGGGCATATCTCTTATTTTTACATCCCAATGTTGACAGGTATGATCATCATCTTTAATCATGTACAGTATCTAAATGAGGATTAAATGCAATGCAACATTTGGCCAAAGAGGGCAGCAGTGCCTGCCATAAACATCAGATAAGCAGAGAACAGAAGGAGATCTCGGAGAAAAGCTCTATCTCTGCAGTAAAAGTGCGACACTTTTCCAGCTCAGGACTACCGAGCCCTCCAGGCTGAGCTTAAGGCGCTGATGTGATGATCTGCAGATATCAGCACACATTCATCAGTGATACATTCACTTCATGCTGGTCAGCAAGACCTGACTCCATTATCCTCACCTAGCCAGAAAAACTGTTTTAATACAAAAAAAAACAACATAAATTACATACCCATTTAGAATATAATGAGAATCAGACTTAAAATATTCTCTTTCCTTCCTTTCAAATGAATAATTCAAAGGCATGTTGGCTTTGTAGGTGCATTTGCAGACTAAGCAACCTGGATAATTCAATCTGCTTTAGTTCATAATCTAGGAGATTATTAAAACCCAGTGTTGCGATACCAAATCACAGTGAAATATATGGATCATCAGATCTGTTGAGTTCCACATGACCTGTTTATAATCAGCGTGCTACAAGTATGTTTTCGCGAGGATATAATAGATTTTTTAAATGCTAATGGAGTCTCTATTAAGCATGATGAAACTAGCAGATCTGCTTAGCTAAATAAAACAAACAAGAGAGGAAAGCTTCTGTGGCATCAACATCTCGAAATGGAATAGAGTGGAACAGTTGGGTTGCAGAAATAAAAAAACTCATTCATTTTCACAATAAAGAAATTGATTTTGTACATTCACATTTATAGGCAGACCTACGAGCTATGAGGTTATTTGATAGTAAGAGCTTTTGTTTTGCCTTTAAAGAACATTATTTCTTTTTTTAATAACAATCATGTTCAACGGTGCTAATGTCAAAGCCACTAAATCTACTTAAATATTTGCATATTTTTAATATTTGAATGTTCAAAATATTTTGCAAACTACCAGTTTCAAGAAATCTATATTTGGCAGAATAATCCAGATTTTCAACCACATGAAATACAATTGTAATACAGAGCTATTCTATTTTTCTAAAAAGCTCTACACTGTAAAAAATTCCTGGTTACCTTAAATTTTTAAGCTGAGTCAAATTTCCATTAAACTTATATTATGTTAAACTGACCAAAAACTGCTTGCATAACTTATAAAATTAAATTTAAACACGATTAACGTAGTTTAATAAGTTACAATGAACTAAAAACATATGCTGGCAGGACTAATTGTTCATATATTTTTTTAACAGTGTAAATAACATTTTTGGGGGCAATTTGAAAGAAAATTAATTGAAATAGAATAAATTATAAGGTCAAATTACTGACTTTAGTTTTTCGAGATTTTTTTTTTGAATATTAAGTAAGGAACATGTTCTGTGAAGATATTTAGTATTTTTCCTTCAGTGAATATATCAAAACTAGAAATATGGATTATTAAGAACATAAGTCATTCATTAATTCATTCATTAATTTCCTTTGTCTTTGACTTTATCAGGGGTTGCCAGGGTGCAAATTACGGGGGGGTTGGGGGGGATTGAACCCCCTATTTAACCCTTAATCCCCTCTAGAGGACATGAAAACAAGATGTATGGGGGTCAACCTTTTAATATTGAGAAATAGTTCATTCTGATCTGTGTTAAATAATAATTTTTACCCTTATTAAGGTTCATACCTTTGTGAATGCATAATCGCACCAATCAGTCTAAGAAAAAAAAAAAACAGTTTGAAACTACAAGTCAACTACAAAGCACCAATGGAAAATTTTCACAAATTTTCACCCCGTAAATTTTCACAAGACTTTGTTTGTTTCTACATATAGCCTGAAAGTAAAGTTAAATTAGACATATAGTTTGTATAGTTTGGCCGACAGTAACCTCTGAAATAGCTAATCAGAGAATACTGTAGGTCAGAATACATTAAATATCAAAACACTAAAAGCCTAAATATGTTTTATTAATAAAACAGATTTAACTTAAATAAATACATAAATGACTAAAGCATGTATTACACAAACTAACATTACTGGAAAATTTGACCCCCGCTGATGTATAATTCGCACACTGGGGGTCGCCACAGTAGAATGAACCGCCAACTATTCCGGCATATGTTTTACGCAGCGGGTGCACCCTTCCACCTGCAACCCAGTACTAGGAAACATCCATACACTCTCGTATTCACACACACACTCATCCAATTCACTTATAGCGCATGTCTATATGTGAAACACGGGGAGAACATGCAAACTCCACACAGGAGTGCCAACTGGCCCAGCAGGTGCTCAAACCAGCAACCTTCTTGCTGTGAAACGATATATATATATATATATATATATATATATATATATATATATATATATATATATATATATATATATATATATATATTTGTATTTTTTGGTAACCCTCTAGATCTTCAAAAAGTTGTATCTCAGCTAAATATGATCATATACTATCAAAACATTATTTTTACAGCTTATATAAAATGTATAAATCTCAATTTCCATAAGAAGATCCTTATTACTGGTTTTGTGGTCAAGGGTCAAGCTTTACCTGAACCTAAAAAATCCACAAGTTTTTATTTAATCAGAATTGTTTTCATGGCTGTATGTATTTAGATTTTTTTGGGGGGAGTGGGTGGAGCTAAAAAATGACTGACAGGCTTTCTCTCAGATTGGGGAATTTTCTGCAAATTTTCAGCACAAATTCCACTATTACACAACAAAAGCATGTACAATCGATTGACAATATCAGAGCTCACAATAGGCCCTTCTTCAACAGTTTATTAGTCACTGTTAAAAATCAATTTCCAAAAGAGAAAATGACTGAAGAACTAATTTGCACTCTATTTTAAAAATAATAACGCTTTCTCAAAACCGAAAGGCAATGGTGGACAGTCAAATTGATGTAGTGCTGTCTCACCTCCAGTTAGCCAGAGGCTGTGAGCTGGTCATGGAGTCTGGGATGACGGTGGCGTGTTGCACTGAAGTGTGTGTGAGCTGCTGCCACGCTGGAGGAAGGAGAATCTGTTGAGTACCAGATGGCCAGGCCTGCTGCAAGGTCAGAATGAAGGAAAAACACAGGGTTAGCATACAGAGGTCAGAGATTCATATCCAGCAGAAGGTCAAAAATCTACAGATAGGAGAGCTTATGCGATCCAGTATATGAATGTCTACTGGCTACTATAATGGACTCCTAAATGGACTCGTGTGATTTAATTGGCATCAGTGTGAAGACCCTGAACGTTAACCTGATGCATCATATGGCAGTGCAGCTAAACAGGCCAGGGTACTGGAGCCACATATTTAGAGAGAGGAGAAAAAGGATACGGCTATTTAGAGAAATGACCGCTAGTAAGTGCTAAACTGTGCCAAACAACCACCAAAGGGGTCATTTAGTTATTTAAGAGACCGTAGCGTCAGCATTTGGGCCTAGATTCAAATGACGCCACTGTTATGAGACATCACACATGGAGAAAATTGGTTAGTCTTGTTTTCCAGGGCAAAAATCTAAACGTTTTTGATTTAACATGCATTTAGTGGAGACGTGTAAAAATATGTTATTTTTTGTTATATTGCTGTTGTCATGGTCACCAGCGATTCAACCTGTGCAGATTGCTGCTAAACACAGATCACATAGAACTACAAATCCGCCATTTTATGGACAACAATTCCAGTTATGCATCACATACACTCACACCAGTTACTGATCCTGACTAACTGCAAACTTACAGCTGAAGCTGCTCATGGACTGATTTCAGGACTATATTCACAGCACACAAATACACACACTTTTGCTGGGTCTTTTTGAACTGTGAGTGAACATTAGGTCACGTTGTCCTTGCCTTGCCGTGTTTTTGACCTGCGCTTTGTTTTGTTTGTTTACGTTTTATGCTGCCTGCCTGTACTGACCATCTGCCTGTTATTTTGACTACAACTCTGGATCGCTTTTACTGTGCGTTCACACCGAAAGCAGTGACAGCGTCCAAGGTCACTCTGACTGACCTGTCTGCCTTTAGCTTCGTTGGCGAGAGCGTCAAAATTCGCTACATTGATCTCGTATTTAAAGGAGCCGTTGCAGCTTGTCAGTTATATTCCTGCATAAAACATGCTATCTACTGTGAAAATGTTGCGCACTTCTTATAAATGTCTACTAATCAACTTCGACTTTAAATATTCTGCTCTTTTGATTTCTCAATTAAATTTAATATGAAAAAATTTATTCATTGCATTGTGTACATCATTAATTAGAGTATATTTGAAATAAATCATTTTAAATTGATTAAACCCTTAATATAGAGTATATATTTGCTTTTGAAAGAGCTGTTTAACATTCATTCAGTAATTTTCCTTCAGCTTAGTCCTTTTATTCATCAGGGGCACCACAGCAGAATGAATCGCTTATACTGCATATGTTTTACACAGTGGATGAACTTCCAGCTGCAACCCAGTACTGGGAAACACCTACGCACTTACACGTTCACACACATACACTACAAACAATTTAGTTTATTCAATTCACCTATAGCGCATGTCTTTGGACTATAAAAGAAACCGGAGCACCCAGAGGAAACCCTCAACAACATGGGAGGAACATGCAAACTCCACACAGAAATGCCAACTGACCCAGCTGGGACTCGAACCAGCAACCTTCTTGCTATGAACTGACAGTGCTAACCACTGAGCCACTGTGTCACCCTTTCTTAATTATCAACGACCAAAATTTTTTGCTAAAAACATCTGACAGAAAAGTCGTCTACATTTTGGATGACCTGATGGTTAGTAAATTAACATCAAACCTTCAATTCTTACTTGTCTTAAGAGTAAATAGAATCATTTCGGTTAGTTTGTCTTAATATTTTTAGATTTAAAATGTAGTCATTTTGTTCTCAAGTAAATCTTTCTAGAATTACAGTAAGAAAGTTTCAATATTTGTACTTAAGCATGACAAAAATACAGAGCAACCCTCCCAACCAACCAATTAACACTGACTGTAGGTATACATGTTGTTAATGAATACTACTCAGTACTTAAATGTACAACTATAGTGTAATAAAAAAACCATAAAATAAAGTGTAAGCAAACTATATGTGAATCTGTTCGAACAAAACATAAACAGAAGAGATCCATTATACACAAGTTCATAACATATCCATCTTCTAATTATTCTCTTGGTCTCATAAATAATGATGATGTGAGAAGGACGGTCTGAAGAAACAAATTACAGACCAAATAAAAAATAAATAAATACAAATCTCCCTGTGGAATAACAAAAAGCTTGTGCCACCACTTCTGCAGGAACTTCATTCATTTCCCTCCCTCAATTTCTTGGCACCAATATCTAGATGACAGGGCCCTGCATACTGCATACGGCCTTGGCTCCTGTCTATAAAAAAAGATAAGACCCTGCCTTAATAAAGAGATGTGGCATCTCCCAGGCAGTGCTGATGTGTTAGACATTTTCCAAATCAGCTCCGACTTTAATTAAATTCAGGGGCCCCATTCAGAGGCTTTGTGAGGAGCTGCTTTGTATGGCGGGTGAGGAGTGCGGGGAGTGCCAGGCATAATTTGCCCAGAGACGTGAGCTTGAAGAAGACTGTCTGCAGCTCTAATAGTTTAATGCAGCCTTATTGATTAGCAGTTTAATGTACAACTAATGAATTGTTTCTTTAATACCCTTTGCACATCTATTTACCAGCCCATCAGTATGGGCCACAGCGCTTGCACAAAAGAGGGAGGGCGAACCGTGGAAAAATGCTTTTTGAAAAAGCATGTTTGCTTTTCGAAAGGCTGTGATTACGCATTCAGTATTACAAGAAAAGAAAATAATGGTATTTGTCTGGAATTTTAACTATTTAAGGGCAACTTTATCAGTAGACTGCAGTGCTTTCCACAGGTTTGAAATATACTAGCGGGGGAAACTGGATTGAAACACACCTTTTACCTACAGCCCATAAATCGTTAACTACATGCGACAAACAAAAAAATAACATGATTTTTAACAATATTTTCATTCATTATGACACTGTTACTTTTTCTTTTCAATGGGTTAAAGGTTTTTTTTTCCAAAATGAAAAAAGAAATCCACTATTTCTCTTTACCATTCAGGAGCCATGTGATCTTATTGGTAAAAGCTGCTCTATTTCTGCCCTAGTTCATTTTGTACAGTACTGCCAAAGCATTCAGTACATGTATACAATGTGTAATATATTTTCACCATCAAATTATTCAAACATACAGCAAATGAGAAATAAATGACAAAAAAAAAAAGGAATAAAACAAACAATATCTCTGGTTATATCTGGTTAACCACTTCTAATGGCGTATATACAGTACATTTAGCAGTCAGTTTAGATGATATTTCGTCCTCTACAGTGTAAAAAGTCATTTTGTGGCCTTGTAGATTTGATTAATATTAATATGCACACTTTATTTAATACAATAAATTTCCTGATTTTAGGGCTTTTTTTTTTGCTTTGAAATTAATTAAAAATGTCTGTAATAAAATCAAATCAATTTTATTATAAGAATTTAGGTGTTATTTTTAAATAATTTCAAAAAGAGAAAATATTAATTAAGACCAACGTAATTAAAATGAGCATTTTCAAATTAGCCAGGGGCACACAAGTCAGTATGTTTAGCCGAAGACCAGCTGCCCTCGCCAGGTACACGAGTAATGAGCGCCCGTCATGACCTTGAGGTGGACATCTCAGCAATTGTCAAAGGACATAAACTACGGATTTGAGTTTTAAACAACTACATTCGTTAAACAACGAATTAATTGTTACTCAATCCATATATGTTGAATTGAATTAATAATATTGCTTGTTTTGTTACCTCAAATTTATTGAGTAGATATGGGGTATTATTTTTTACAGTATACAAGTATATTGTAAAGTTTTTCTGAGTCGTTCAGATTAAAGAATTCATTAATTCATTTTCTTTTCGGCTTAGTCTCCGGAAACTGGAGCACGAGGAGGAAACCCACGCCGATACGGCGAAAAAATCCAAAACTCCACACAGCAGAGGCACAAAGCAGTGACCTTCTTGCTTTGAGGCGAGCGCTACCCACTGCACCACAGTGCTGTCCAGATTAAAGAATCTATTATTTAATCTTTCTCTTTCTTGCTCTTGTGGCTGTATGCGCGCTTTCAGCTGTGAAGCCAAGAGAAAAAGCAGACTTGCAAAAACACATAAATTTGACGACAGCTTTAGAAAGCGAAAGCAAAAGTTGAATCCCCAACATTTTAAGAGATTTACAAACCCTGAACGAATCAAGTCTCTGTAGGTCGATGCAGACCACATGAGACTGTTGACGGTTCTCGCGCACACACAAAAGCGGTATGAAACGTGTAGGGTGAGAGATTTTTAGAAGATTTTCCACTACTTAATCGATCGTGGATGCTTGTTATCTTGTGCGGATGCAAAAAAAGTGTAAAAAGATGATAATAATAATAACAACAAACCATAATAATAATAATAATAATAATAATAATAATAATAATAATAATAATAATAATAAGTGGCATCAAATATACTTGGGCTGCCGTTAATATACCTGGGCAGCCTGCCAAAGTAAATTTTATGTGTGGGAAGCACTGGACCCGTTAAATTTCAGCGCGAACAAAGTTACTTTCAAACTACAGTCAGGCTATCATTTGTTGTATTTTTAATTTGTTACATTTATTGTTATTTTAACTATTTATGTAAATTAAATATACCTTTTTTTTAAATTATTTTGTCAGAGAAGTCAAATAAAACTCAAGCAGTTTCAAATAAATAAAATAATTTGAATATTGGATATAACAAAAATAAAAACATATATAAATACAAAAATAAGTGCATAAATAAATACCCTGAAGGCATGTGAATTTTTTAATTTTAAAATTAAACTTACATTTAAATGTATAAATTCAGCAACCTTCAATCTTTACAGTTTACCTGTGGGGAAACTTTTTTTGTCACTATAATTGTAATTCCCTTTAGCAGCAATAATAAATAAAACTTCATAGGTCACCTGAAACTGAAAGTTTTTTTGCCTCTTACTGTTTAATTAAGAATCAATCAATCAATAAATCAGTCAATCAAATAAATCCAACTTAAGAAATGGAAATATATATTTTAAAATACACACTTCATCATTCTAACCTCAACAAAACAAACAAAACCTTACAGCTGATCTGATAGAAACTGAAAATTTACCAGTTTAACATTTGCATCTATCTCTACATTAAATTTTTCCAGATGCACAAGGCCTAAAAGTGCATACTTCAAGTACATGTCAACACCTCTACATACTTCTTCCTCTTGTGACACAAATAATTTCATCCGAACTATGTCCCTAAAGCCCTTTGCCTACATTCCTGACACTCTGCATCCTCCTTTCTCACTCTGGGCTGGGTTGTGTAATTGTACCGTCTGGCCTGAAACGCTAACCCAGATAAGAGTAGAGTTTTCCATGCGAGGCCATCTCTTCGACCACCCCTCTAACAGCTTTTCTGCCCTCGCAGGGTGAAAGCCTTTTGTCACCCCCAGGGCTCTGAAAGCACCGCCGCTCCATCGCCAATTGTTTTCGCATTTTCTGCATTCCTGTTCCAGATAAAGGCCGAGGCCTTCTAGAAACCCACTCCACTGGCACCAGGAGCGATGTGGCCAGGCTGATTGGATTGAAGGGGGAGAAAAGCCGCTTGAGGCCCTACAGTAGTAATGAACAAGCATCCCAATCCCCAACTGCTTTTCCCAATCCAGCACTGTGATAATCACCAGTGGAATTTATGCACAGGCTTTCTTGAACGTGAGGAACATTGAAGATGTACTCAAGCAACGGTTCCCAACCTTTCTTTGCCTGAAAACCCCCTTTTTTCCCCTGGAAAATATTGTAAGGCCCCCCTCCACATTTATTGACATTATCGCTTATATAAGTTTGCAGTATATGTATGACAACCAAATGTTGTTTCAAACAAATGGTGTGTTTATTACTATATCTAGATATGTTTCTGCACAAATAATAGCCTAATGTAAAATATAAAAGCAAAACCTCACTAAGCCATTTGTTTTGGGTACCCCTTGCGGTATTGGGGATGGGTCATCTACAAATGTCTTATTAATTTGGAGGGCCTCATGCATTCATTAGCAAAAACTTTAGTGCAGATTATGCACTGTGGCTGGGTCAGGGACTCTTTGCTTCGAGAAAAAAACAAACCAAAACAAAACAGGTAGCTATCTTTAATTTATTTTTATTCTATCTTTAACTATCTTGTATTTCCTGCATTTTGTGTTTACAGTATTACTAGCGCTGCGACCCGAAATGTTTGGATCTTCCTGACCTTGATCCAGTATGCTTGGCTCATTAGCTGCTGAAGGCGAATCAATGACTTTCTTTTTTATGGTGGACGAATTACAAATTTGTTCATTTTTTGGTCAGCCAGGAGATAAAATGAACCAAGACAACATGATCAATCTCCCAATTGTCAAATTAAATCAGTAATCAGTGGTCAAATCGAGTCCATTCAGCAAAAATGGTGTCAATTTATCATGAAAGTTGTAGCTATGACTCAGGCACCATGTTTTTGAAGCACGCCTTTAAATTTGTTTAAATTAAAAACAACTCAAGTGCGGTTGCTGTTCATTTGAATAACTCTAGTGTACACCAAAAAAAAAAAAAAGACTGCAGATAGGATGGCTATTAATTCTCATCCAATAAACTCTGCTGCAGTTCAGTTTAGGGTTGTCGCGATATCATTAATTAATCTTACGATACTACACCAGCTTAAGTATCACGATACCAAGTAGTATAGCAATACTGTAATTCATAACTCAAATTATATAAAATTTGTCAGAAATACTATATTTTATGTTATAATAGGCCTATTTGAATGTAACTCATAATTCCCTTAAGGTCAAAAAGTATTTTTTGCACCCCACTTAACCTAAAATGGATTCATTCTTTTTATTTTGCAGATAACTGACCAAATAAATAAATAAATAAATAAAAATAAAAATACAAATTAAACCGAATTAAATTTGTTACAAAAGAGCATTTTCCAACAAAATTTGGCTATATGAAGTGGTCAAAATTATTTCAATGTTTCCTGTTGCTATTTTGGGTTTTTCATCTATTTTTTCCTCAGTCTTATTAAGTAACAATCCAAAGTAATTGCAAATTTCACTTTGTGAATAGTTCTTTTTAAGAGATTGTCACGTTTGTTGTAGCTACTAAATTATATTGACAGAAACAGAAATGAACCGATTTAGATGTGCGTTAAAAAAATAGAAAACATGCAATAGGCTACCATAAAAGGTGCCAATTCTACACAGTTATGCAACCTTTAAGGGCTCCACAGACTATTCAAATAAAATGGTCTAATGTTGCACAAACGTGTGATCATTTTGGTGACTTTTCCACATCCAGCATTATCTATTCTAGATAAACCATTAAAGGGACTAAGCTGAAAAGAAAATGAATGAATGAATGAATGAATGAATGAATGAATGATAAACCATTAATGACGATACTACCGTTTACAAACCACAGTGGCATCGGCAGTATTTTTTTTTCAGCCATAGTAGTATTGTGATACTACCATAATAATGGTAAACCGTGCAACCCTAGTTTAAATTAAAAACATTTTATAAGGGGTTTAGGCTTTTACAATACTTTTGTTTAGTATTCAGTTCAGTCTGCAGGAGCCATGCCTTAATGTATCAATATCTTTTTGGTTTGGATACAACAAACCTAGAAAACTAAACTGAACACACATTATAAAACCTATATGAGCTGACAAAAATAACAAAATTTAGCTTGGCATTCATTCATTCATTCAATATTTTCATCTAGTGGATTCAGCTTGATTTGTTAAGATCTGTTTATACCCAGATCAGGTCACTTTAAATGCTAAAGCTCTTCACAGTAGGATAGATTCTGACTGGCTGTCTGACTGTCAATGATTTAATGTTGTGTAATGTTAATTTCATAATGTCATTATTAGCATTATAGACATTGTTGTGAACAACTAGAATTGATATTAAGAGCTTCAGTAAATATCAACTTAAATGTTTGCCTTTTTTCACTCAACACTACAAGATGTGGAAAATAGACAAATTTGCTGACGAGTCATTATGATTTAAGCAAAATGTACAGCTAGAATATTGTTTAATAAAGAAAGTCGTGTGCCTTCGGAATGGCATGAGTGTGTGTTAATATTCTTTGCCTGAACTAAGAGTATAATCTTCAAAAAAGCAACAAGCGCTCAGCTCAGCAGTTCTGAAAAAGTTGTAGATAAATTACAAATTGGCTAAACAGCTCTGAACGTCTCGAATTTAAAAGCCGTCTGGGCCCTTCCTTGTGGCTCCCGAGGGTCGACAAATCCCTCAGCATCTACAGACCTCATTTAAAGCCAACCTCAGTCTTGCTCATCAAAGCGTGACTTCCTGTTAACTCCAGGAAAGAAGCACAGTTTCCTAGACCTCAGTGGAGGCAGGAAAGCAAAGCATCATTGAGGGGAAAATCTCCGGAAGGGGAAAGGCAGGTCATTGCGTTTGCTACAGCAGAGCATGCTGAGATAAATCCAACCCGGCTTCAATTAATCTATTGGCCATGAAATGAGAGTGTCTTCTGGATTTCGTTGAGGGGAGAGTGAATTATACTTATATCATTAAAACAAAGTAGGTCATGCTAATTGCTCCTCGTCGGAGCCAAACTCGGATGTAATTGAGAATTTGGGAAAGGCTGAGGGGTGTAATTAGTTTTGGAAATGTGGCTTTGTGTTGCTGTGGCGATGGGGGCAATGTCTGGCTGTACCTGTGTCAGAAGGCCTGGCTGGATCTGCAGAGGTTGGGCACCGGGGGCCTGTGTTACTATGGGAACTGCGTTCTCCATCCGCACAGAGTAGCCAGTGTGTTTAGAGGGCGATGCTTGCAAACCTGGTAAGAAATAACAGCGAAGTTATTGGACGGTAAAAACATAGAAATTCAAATTCTGTTACGATTTGCTTATTTTGACTTTGTGCGACTTGTAGTAGAATCTTTTAGTTTGGCAGCTTTCTTTCATACAATGAACAAATAAACTACCATGAAGAGTTCCTTAAGGCTTATTTATAGTTCTGCATCAAGCGTAAGTGTATAGTCCGGCACTGCTCATGAAATGTTTATATATATATATAAACTCATTGGATGAACTCAATTTAATTGAGGGCAGGATTTCCATCCAAAAAAATTGTTTAACTAAAAAAACTTGTTCCAACCTGACTTTATCAAATAAAAGTTTAAATACATTTTAAACATCCAGTTGAACTCAGAATTATTCACCCACTTTGAATTTTTTTTATTTTTTTTTATTTTTTATATTTCCCAAATGATGTTTAACTGAGCAAGGAAATTTTCACAGTATGTATGATACTATTTTTTCTTCTGGAAAAAGTCTTATTTGTTTAATTTCGGCTAGAAAAAATAACTTTTTAATTTTATAAAAAAACATTTTAAGGTTAAAATTATTAGCCCCTTTAAGCTATAAATTTCTTGGAATATCTACAGATTAAATAATCATAATATAAAAACTTGCCTAATTACCTTAACCTGCCTAGTTAAACTAATTAACCTAGTTAAGCCTTTAAATGTCACTTTAAGCTGAATAGAAGTGTCTTGAAAAATATCTATTTAAATATTATTTACTGTCATCATGGCAAAGGTAAAATAAATCAGTCATTAGAGGTGAGTTATTAAAACTATTATGTTTAGAAATGTGCTGAAGAAATCTTCTCTCCGTTAAAACAAATTGTAGAATAAAAATAAACCAAATAATTCTGACTTCAACTGTCCATAAAATGCATAAAAGTTATCCTAAATGAACATTAAAGAGCTATTTTAAGCATATTTTATGAGTTACATCTACAGTTGATTGAGACTGATCTCAGATTTATTTTTAAAACAGTTATTGCTCACTGAGCAAAGCAACAAACTGCATTTTTGCTAATTAAGCTACCAATACCCAAAGCATGTGTGCTTCTGAAGGTGGTAATTTCAAAACTCAAAGCATTACATGAAAACCTACTCCAAACTAAAGTGAAGATTAAACTCTAACACGTCTTATCAACTTTAAACACCTAAGGTTACTTTTACTGTCAGCATTTTTTAAATTCAATCGCACTCAAATCTGGGAACTACACATGCCCTAACCATGTAGTTGGACCGGCCAGATTCCTTCATGTTGTCATGAACCATTGTTGTCAATGGTTAACAAATGTAAGTATACTGAACATAAAACAAATAAATTGGCCAAAGAAATTACAAGAATTGTGTTGTTTCAGCAGAAGTAAACATTTTTGGAGTATACACGTCGCAACATCGTAAACGTTGCAATGTTGACGAGCGTGGACGGTGCTAAGAGCGTGGACGGTGGAGCGATTGTTTACAAGTGTGGAGTCCCATGAAGGAGCTCCAGATGGAAACTTTTGTTTTGTGTTTATCTTATGATTAAAGTCGTTGCACGTCCACCAGTTCCCGCTTCTGTATGAGTAAGTTTTACAGTAGCTACTTGTACATTAAGGTAGTGTGTTCAGAAAAAACAAAACACCCACGAAGAAGAGGAACATAAAAACCTACTGCCAGCTAGCGTTTCGAAAGTGTTATTGCACAGCAAAACAAACAGCACGCAGAAGTATAAATTCACGACTGCGTACAAGGCAGGTGCCGTGGGTCACAGCGATCACTCAACGCAGAAATATAAATCAGCCTTTACACTACACTACTATTCAAAAGTCTGAGGTCAACTTGTTTTATGTTTCCTATCTAAGCAATGCTGCGTTTATTTATTCAACAATAAAACTGTAAAAAAAATTACTGTTAAATTATAATTTAAAATAAAAAAATGCTCAATTATAATAATTCTAATATGCAGATTATCTTAAAAACTATTTATTATTTAATTCTGTTGTCAAAAGTTCCAATGAAAAGCATTTATTATGAATATAAACCTTTTATAAATGCTTATTGTCGGTTTTGATTAATCTAAAGCATTAAAACTTTTTATTATTATAGCATATTTTAGTCATTCAACTTTGAACTAAAATAAATTTTTTATTGTTGTACCTTGGTCCAAGTAGTTTAAGTAGAATTTTATAAGTGCATGACTACATAATTACAGCATAATCCTCACATAAATCTTCTGTTTGATGACTTGGAATAGAAACCGCTCACTGTATGAATCATTTTTATTATACATAAATGTTGTTTTTCTCCTATTTGTTTAATGCAAATACTGTAAATTGCCATTACATGGAAAAAGCTGGCAGACAGTTTAGAAAACAGATAATTAACATCAAGGAAATAGTGACAGAATTTAGCCAAAAGCGGTTTAATCTTGCTCCTGGAGCACCAATATTCTGAAGAAGTTAGCTCCAAAACACTTTTCTAGAAGTTTCTGGTGAGTCTGAAGATGCAAATTAACATTAAGATTCAGATGTGTATAATTTAAGTAGGAGCCAAACCAAAAACAGATTTGGACTATCAGAAACATTTTAACCTAAATTACCTTGGAAGCCAGGTGGGCAGACGATGAGGGCCTGCTGGAAGGGATCGGGTCGGGCGGCACAGAGTTGCGGTGCACCGGGCTGGAGGGGCATCGTCCTGGGTGCCACGGCAGCCATGGGGGCCGCAGAAGGCTGGTAGAGTGCAGATTGGTAATTTAGTATGGAGACATCGGGATTGGTAAGGGAAAGGGTGGCACTGGTGGAAGAGGGAGCCAGGTTGGTGGCCTAAAGGAACGGATGGGATCAAACAAACAAAAGACAAACAAACAAAAGCATGAGGAAGTGGGTGTGGGGATTGAGTGGAGCAACGATGAGGGGCAAAATTTCAAACAATATCAAATAATGAACAAAAATGCTTCTTGAAATGCAGGGTGGAGGTGCAAAAAATGGTTAGCCAATGGAAACATGCAAAGGAAACATGTTTATTGTTAAATCTTGAGCAATATCACAGAACGAATACCCAAACCGTGTTGGTAACGAAAACGACATTTGGATTCAGGCATGTTCTATAAAATGACTTATTGAGCGTTAGGGAAGAGGAGGTGAGAGAGCTTCAATCAATGCTCTTGTGTTACAGTCTCCATCAATGCTAGGACCCTTCAACTCATTGAATTTGCCTGGTCTCATTAGCAACAGATAATGATCCCTCTTTGCGCTAAAGCTATGATTAAACATACACACAGATCTAACTGGTGAGGGGAGCGAAAATCTGTTCTTCAAAGCCTCTGTGCTGGATTTGCCCTCCAGTGCTTTTTAATCCGGCCTGACTGCAGCACATTCATCTGTTTATTCATCTATCAATGTGGAATTTGCGCCGTCTAGGAGGTTTGATGAACGAGGGAACTCCCTCTCCTCCATCTAGAACGCTGAACTGAATGTGCTTCTCAAAAGAGCTGTGCAGGTCCTTCTATCATAGTCGCTCTCATTCTCAAACAAAAACGCAAGCCAAGAATATAGCCAGAAGTAAAAATATTAGTGCGGTAACACCGCCAGATGTAGGAAAGAGTGTGATTGCTGTTCAAAATGATAAAGAAGGTCTGGGCCATGGCTTAGCAGTCAGTGCACATGCTTCCCTTTTAACATTTTGAGCCAAAGAGCTTATATGGGAAATCTGAGGTCGAGTCTGTCCTGCTAAAATTATAACAAAAAAGCAAAGAACCATGACTTAGTGGCCAGTGTGCATGCTCAGACATCATTATTTAGAGCTTTGGAGCTCATTTGGAAAGTTTGAATCTGATATAGTAAAGTCAGGGTTCCTAAAGGCAGTTTGAAAAGTATGAAATATGATTTGAGTCATTTCCAATTCTGTAAACGTATGGAAAAAGTGAATCAGAGTATGGATTTGTAGTTTTCTAAATATAAATATCATACAGTATGATTTTTTTCAGGGTGTTTGGAGGAGCAGGCTGACAGTGATGACAAAAGATTACACTCAATCTGCTGGGGGGACTAGTCAGTCAGGCCTTTAAATGACTTTAACGTTTAGCTGAAAGACTAGAAAGCGAAGCACATAAACTTCATCAAATGATCATCAAATCTAAAAATTATCAAAAAAATCATTGCTATTGCTAATACATTAACAGATCCAGGATGTTCCTTGTTTTTTAATTACTTCATCTTATTTTAACATTCAACAACTCTGTTGACAAACAGAGCCCTTCTGTGAGGTAGCTTGAACAATCAAGTAATAAATAACATCAATTCTTCACTTTTGCATTTTAGTGCAACAGTAAATATAAGAAATGTAATATAAAAACAAATAGCACCTCAACTTAAAGTACCCGGCAGGCAATCCTAAGTTTACATATCTCACAGTTTGCTTTGGCAATGTTGTCGTCATCAACTTTTTAACACCTCCAGACCGCAGACATGCTTGCGCTTTCCGCTTCACGCTGCATCCGTGTTCTACTTTGATCAGGAGTTAACGTCCGATTCCGAACAAGTATGAAACCGCATAATCTGGCCCGATTGTTGATCATGTGATTGGATCTGGATATACCTAATCCATTTCGTTTTACAAAGCTTCCTGTTCTATTTCAGAAATATATCAATAATAAAAAAATATTACACCCAAAAAGGTGTAAAGCAACACAAGATTAAGGGTCAAGTCTGAATAGGTCACGTGTAATTGTTAAGACTTTATAAACTAAGTCTTTCTAAATTGTCATGCTGAATTTATAAAATGTCAATTTTTAGTATCTATTTGTCAATTTCTTCTTTATACATTTATTTATGTACAGTTGAAGTCAGGATTATTAAACCCCCTGAATTATTAGCCCCCCTCCCTGTTTATTTTTTTCCCTAATCTCTGTTTAACGGAGAAATAATTTTTTTTCAACACATTTCTAAACATAATAGTTTTAATAACTCGTTTCTAATAACTTTTATTGTTTATTTCATCTTTGCCATGATGACAGTACTTAATATTTTACAAGACACTTCTATACAGCTTAAAGTGACATTTAAAGGCTTAACTAGGTTTATTAGGTTAACTAGGCAGGTTAGGGTAATTAGGCAAGTAATTGTATAACAATGATTTATTCTGTAGACTGTCGAAAAAAATATATAGCTTAAAGGGGCTAATAATTTTGACCTTAAAATGTTTTTTCAAAGAAATTCTAAACTGCTTTTATTCTAGCCGAAATAAAACAAATAAGACTTTCTCCAGAGGAAAAAAATATTATAAGACATAAATTTAATTGCTCAGTTAAATATAACTTGGGGAAAAAATAAAAATAAAAAAATAACTCAAAGGGGGGCTAAAAATTCAGATTTTAACTGTATATAACATTAGTACAGGTAAATAATAATATTGTAGAGTGAGATTAATCATCTACACCAGTGATTCCCAACCTTTTTAACAAATAGACCCATATTTTATCAATCAAAATCATTAATGACCATTGGTAGATTTTAAATTATTGCAAGAACAGGTAATAACTAAAACAGTAACATAAATAAATGAACAACACACATTGTTAACTAATATTTACTATGTTTAAATAAAACAAAAATCTTACTGTATTTATAAAACTATATAAATCCACAATTTTTTATTTTTTTATTTTTTTGACTAAAATTTGCTTTTGTGTGATCCAGTCTACGGTCGGAACAAAATCTGCACAGAGCTTGAATGAAAATGTAAATCCACTTTCTGATAGTGTGTAGTACTTAAAGAAAGGCAGAAATGCTTAAAGAAATTAGCTTTATGCTGTAATAAATACACTTTCAATAATTTGTTAAAAAGACAAAACAAACAGTCAGTAATTTTTATCATCAAACTGGTATCTGTTTCAACCTTCAAACTATTAATCACCCCTTACGGATCTTTGGTGGCCCCCAGGCTGGTAACCACTGATCTAGACCACTGATCTTCAATGCTCAAAACTGAACAATACAGTACACAAAAAGGATGCATCCAAACTCTGGTGCAGCATTAAAACCTGTTTGTTTAATGGAGGATTGTGTTATTTACTTTCATCTGTTACCAAAGCAATACTGTTTCATCTCATGCCGCCGTTAGTAATTATAGACTTTTCATTAAGGTTTGTAGAGGGAGAATTCAGTACAGCCTTTTCATTTTTCATTTTCCCGTTTAGCAAGGCCGACGAGCACCGGGGGAGAGAGTTAATCAATACACCGCCATGGCATTCATCACGCAAAATAAACACTTCAGCCTCACAGCTGGCTAATGCTACACAAGCTTATACCCTTCCGAACACACCCCAGACAGTGTTCGTGATGTTAGAGAGAAGCCGGAATGCTATAACATTACAGCCGTCTGACTTTTTGACTTTAGCCATGTTTATTCGAAGGGGGAAAAAGTCTGGGCTTGAGTCGATCTAAGAAGTCCGAAATGAAGGCATTATGGGATTCAAGCCTGGGCCTCTGTCAGCAGTTTAGACAAACGCTCCCCGGTGAAGCTAAACTGCACTGAGGCAAAACAGGAGGAAACAAAAGGAGAGAAGGAAACAAAGTGGTGCAATCCTTAAGGCTGCAAAGTACTAAAATGCAAGCCAAGCAGGAAGTAGAGGCTGTCATGTTGTTAATCAGCACATTGTGACAGAGGGCTGCAAGGCTGGAGACACGCACTCGCGCAAACACACGCGCACACACACACAAACAGTCTTGTTCCTATATCCCAGTGGGGACTCTCATAATGATGCTTCTACAATACAAACCGTATATTCTATCCCCCTACACTCTCAGAAATAAAGGAACACAATCTGTCACTGGGGCAGTAGCTTTTAAAAGCTGCTTTTTTGTTCCAGTTCAACAGGGTCATGAAACCCCAAAACATATTTTTTGAGCTGTTGACAGTCATATATATGTCCCATGTTGCTAAAAATGCTATTAGGACACATATATTTCACTAAAAAGTTGGAGCAAAAATTCGTTCTTCTGGTTTGAAAAGAAATTTAGAAGCTACGTCATGGCCATGAGATAATTATGTAAATTTCAGCGTGGAAACTGGATGTCTGTACTGGCTGGTACGACATGACATCTTTAGGTTTTTAGCAATAATTCATGAGAAAGACTTGGTTTAAACCAATCAGAGCGCTCTATTGTGAATGAGGTGCAACTTCATTAATATGGATGATATAACTTCGAAGACTTCTTTTACCTGTTACAGTGTTCAGTGAGATGCCACATTGTGTTGCCAACCGTAATTAATACAAGTGAACGAAGAGAAATTGTTCGGAAACATGGGTCGTCAGTGTTGTGTTTATAAATGTGCAGCAACGAAGGTTTTGTTTCCATTTTCCCACAGTGAAAGCACCGCTGCATGTGGCCCCACATTGCAGATTACAGTGGTCTGCTAACATGCGACAACAATATGTTTGTAAGGAACATTTTTTACTCGAGAGCTTTTCGAATATGAAAATGGTGAAATTCAGATTTGCCGCTCGTCTTCTTTTTAAACAACGACACGGCTCCATTGGTGTTGATTGTCCTGTCGCTACAGATTTGGTTGGTGTGCGATCAATGTTCTTTGTTTATGTTTATTCATATGCTAAGTTAGTTAGTATCATCAGGAGTACTCTTTCAGTTTTTTAAAGACATACCTTAGTCTAAATGATTTAGTTACTCAGTTTACAGTATGTTAATATCACTACAATAATATGGACTGAAAAATCCGCTGTAAATTCTGCTCTCCAAATGTGAACATGTAAATACCCTAATCAAACTATTACCGTAGTGTAGGATTTTCACCACATATGATTTTTGCCACATTTTGTTAAAGGATAGTCTATACACACACAGCTGTTTGATAGTTGTAGTGCACTTAATAAAACTCCCTTTTTATGCAAATCCTTCCCTTTGTCCCCACTCAACACTCCCACCTAAACAAAGCTGAACTTACCCACGTTCCTGTTTTTTTTTTTTTTTCAAACTAGAGGTGTGACCCTTTAAAGAGGCATACTTATACTTAAAAAGTACAAATCTGTACAAAATTGAACCTCAAATGCACTAATGTGTGGCTGTAAAGAACAAAAAATATACCTTTTGAAAAAGTACCGCCCCAGTGACAGCATTGTACCTTTAGAGTATACCCTAACCCTAAACCCAACCCTCACAGGAAACATTCTGTATTTTTACATTTTCAAAATACTTAATTCTCTGTTATTTATTAGCTTGTTTACCGGTGGGTACTTCGATTTTGGTCCCTAAAGGGACACAAGTCCCCATGTGTCTGTATGGATTCAGGATTAAGTCCTCACCGGGTTATAAAAACAAGCGCGCACGCACACACGCAAGCATGCACGCACACACACAGCCTAAATGGCCCATGATTTGACTGGTGTTCTGTCCACTGAAGGAAGCCATCCGATACTGCCAGTGGTCAATGGGGCAATGCTACACTAATTTCTTTGGATTGTCCCGCTGCTAATGAGTCTGTGTGTGTAGTGTAATTAATTATCTGCAGCTTTGAGGGGAATTTAAAGGAATTAGGGATCAAAGAGGGTTTAGGTTGCAATTGAAAGTAAGGCTTTTATTAACATATGGCTTGTCATTGTTTGGGCTCTAACCTAGCTGTAGATTTGAGGTTGATTTTGCATTAAAAGACATTACGTCATAGCAAGCATGAAGAAACATTTAGTTGTATATGCAATAGTGTTAACATGACAATTGGAAATGTTTTTAAATGCATAAATGTTCTGTCGATAGCTTAATTATTTGCAAATATTTATTTTACATTTATTTAAATACAATTCTAGTCACTTCATTTTTTTTATTTGAATTAATTATATTTTTATCTTCTTACTAAAATACAATTGTTTTGATAAATTACTATACTGCAGTAGATAATAAGCATAAAAATACAATGCCCTATGAAATCGTTTTCTGTTTAATTTAATATTATTACTATTAATTATTATTTTATAATATTTATTATTTTCCTAGATTGCAAGTAATTTTTTTTTTTCGTTTTTTTTAGCTTAATTGTAATTACTAAAATAAATGTATTTATCAAAAACATACCCAGCTAATGGAAATCCTCCAAAATTATATAATTAGATCATTTAAAGTATGTTGGTAACCAGAGAGTAGACAGTTTCACGATGAGCAAATGAAGACTATTTTTCAATTTAGGATGCAACATACAATCCTGCAGGTAGAGTATTATGTATATATAAATACAAATACATGCATGCACATATACAGTTGAATTATTAGAATGATCAGAATTATTAGCACCCCTGTTAAGTTTTTCCCCAATTTCTGTTTAACGGAGAGAGGATTTTTTTTCAACACATTTCTAAACATAATAGTTTTAATAACTCATCTCTAATAACTGATTTATTTTATCTTTGTCATGATGACGGTAAATAATATTTGACTAGATATTCTTCAAGACACTTCTATACAGCTTAAAGTGACATTTAAAGGCTTAAGTTATATAGACTATCGAAAAAATATACAGCTTAAAGGGGCTAATAATTTTGACCTTAAAATGTTTTTTAAAGAAATTAAAAACTGCTTTTATTCTAGCCAAAATAAAACAAATAAGACTTTCTCCAGAAGACAAAATATTATCAGACATACTGTGAAAATGTCCTTGCCCTGTTAAACATAATTTGGGAAATATTAAAAAAGAAAAAAAATTCAAAGGGGGGCTAATAATTCTGACTTCAACTGTTTAATTGTTTATTTAAGTGTTCTGACTCTATGTTGATTGAATTTTATTTACATTTTAATAAGCAGAAAGATGCTCAGTTAATTGAAATCTTCCAAAATGTTATAATTAGATCATTTGAAGTATGTTGGTAACCAGAGAGTGGACAGTTTCACGATGATCAAATGAAGACATTTGGGTTGCGTCATACAATCATGCCAGTACAGTAAAGTCACTGTTGTAAATATAACTGAAAGTATGAGTAAAAAGTAGCCCTCCAGAGTAGTAGGTATTACACTGTGAAAGGTTAACGTGTTTACGTTCAATTTGTGCGTGTGAAAACGTAACATTCTGTAGTTTATTTAGTTATTGTTTAAGGCAATTTCAGTCATCATACAGTAGGCATCTGTCTAATGATTTTGTGTCTTCTGTGTCTTGAGGTTGTTCTATATGCTGCAATTTTTCTATCTGCAATTTGTTTGGAGGGGAATCACAGGACTGATTATTCTACTTCAACCAATCACCACAGACGAGAAAAAATAAAGCAGTGACTGAAGGTTAAAGGAAAACAGTGGCGTAAAAGTACCTACACAGCACTAAAAATGTATTCAAGTCATAAGTCAAAGTGCACATTTTAAAAACTACTTAGTAAAGAACAATTCCTGTGAAAACCTACTCAATTACAGTCATTTGAGTGTTTGTTTGTAATTTGTTGCTTGACAGCACTGGTGGATACTGACCTGGCTATGCACAGTGTTCAGCTGGTTGTTGAAGGTCATGGTGAGATTGGTCGAGGTGCTGGGGGCTACATGTGTTATAAAGGGGGTCTTGCTCTGATTGACTGTATCGTACATGTTCACTCGACGCTTGCAAATCTCCATGTTCTGGAAGCAGGATTTGACACTGCAACAATCCAAAAAAACACTCGGTCAGCGATTTATTCATAATCCATTTCATTAAACAAACATCACAACACAATGAAAACTGACTGTGTGCTGTGAGGGAAGTCCAGCAAGTGGGTCATGGTGACGAAGGGGTGGTTGAGGGTCTCGATGGGTGTTATTCTCTTGTCTGCGTCGATGGTCAGCATTTTGGTCAGCAGGTCAATGAACTCTCTTCTGTCTGCCTTTTCTGCCAACATATCACTGCCCTCCAGGTCTGTGGTCATATTCACCTGCAGAAAGCACAAAACAAAGGCGGAGTCAGAAACATCATGACTGATATACTGAGACGTGCTTTAGGTATCCTTAAAGGTATCCATGGTTTGCTTTCTTATCCTGGTGCACTATTAGTTATTGCATCACAATGTCAACACAGAATCTGTGTCATAGAATTTCTCAAACTTTGGAATGATTTGATTTATTTATCATTCAGCAATAAAACCGCAAAGCTGCTTTCACAACTGTGGATTGATTATTTTGTCCTGAAACAGGGATTAAAATGTCACAATGTTGCTTTGTGCTCTTGGTGCGGTTTGCTTTCACACTGCAAAGTTTCTAAACGGACTAAAATAGCTAAAACACTTTGGTCAGACTTTTACGGTTTATTTTGCCGAGTCCCGCTCAGCTGTCATGCGTCCTCATTTTAATTTATGACAGTAAGACATTATAAGCGAAAAGCTGCACTTTAACATTCAATAGTGACACCCACAGACATCGTCTCTAGATATAAATCAGAGGTAAGATTTTTTTTTAATAGAGTCATTGGCTAGAATTATGAATTATAGGCTTTACATTATATAGAGAAATAACAGATAAACCAAGATTGCAGTTCGGTCAATTTTCAAAATGGATAAACAGCTCTCGATAATAGTTCAGCACAGAATTACTTTCGTATGTGACATGAAACGCACATTTACCGGTAGAAATGACCTCCCGCCCTACTGATAATTCTTTCTTCATAAAGCCATATATACAGTATGTCTATTCACTTGTTAAGTTGTGACGTATCTGTGACATATGAAATACTGTTTCCAAAATACTGTGTCCAAGCCGCAACTCATTTGAATTGAGAAAAAAATAGTTTATGCCCACTTTTTAGTCACATCACTATTTAAAGAGTTTTTTTTTTTTCAACAAAAGAACAGTGGTATTAGTATATCATAACAACAAGTACAGCAGTTTTTATTAGTCATTCTAACATGCACACAAATGCTTTAAAAAGGCCGAAATTAAAGGAGACTATAAAACAAATTTAGAAAAACATAGTCACTGAGTACTCTCAAGAAAAATCCAGAAGGAGAACCAAATGCGCCAGAACACCTCAGATCATTGATGGAAATTATAGGTTACTTTTTCCACTGGTAGAAGTCTGGTTTCCTGACATGAAATGTGATTATAATATTATTTATTACTATTACTTACTATTAAAGAAATAAATAAATAAATAATAATAATAATAATAATAATAATAATAATAATAATAATAAATAAATAAAAAGTAATAAATAATACAATTAAAAAAACATCATATAAATTATTTATATATATTATTATTATATATTATTTATCACTATGTTTAATTTATTTATTTAAAGGTAAGTAGTAGTAATAAATAATATTATAAAATATATATAAAAATAAATTGTATGATTTTTTAAAACTTCTTAATTTGTTTTTCACTTAATTTTAATTGAATTTTATTATAATTTTTGCAAGCAGAAAGATGCTCAGTTCATTTAAACTTTCCAAATTAGCTGAATTACTTTGTTGACATAAAAATTACGATATTTTAAAAGACGTTTGCAATCACACAACAAATTAAGTTCCATAAACCAGCACAGAAAAATTTTCATGCAAAATATATTAAATTAATAGTAATAAATACTGTACATGTAATAATAAATAATATACAGATATAAATAAATTACACGCACACTCTGGTTTTACAATTTACAGTTACAGTAACAGTATGTTTGATAAAATCATACAATTTTTTTTTAAAGCATAATGATTTATTCCATAAATTACTGTTCCATGGGCCTCAAGGTGGAGCAGTGGGTAGCAGTTTGTATGTTCTCTCCGTGTTGGCATGGGTTTCCTCCGAGTGCTCTGGTTTCCCTCACAAGTCCAAAGACATGTGGTATAGGTGAATTGGGTAAGCTAAATTGTTTGTAATGTATGTGTGTGTATTGATGTTTCACAGTGATGGGTGGCGGCTGGAAGGGCATCCACTGCATAAAACATAGACTGGACAAGTTGGAGGTTCATTCCGCTGTGGCGTGCCCCAGAAGGAAATAAGCCGAAAAGAAAATGAATGAATGAATGAATTACTGTTCCATAAATAAATAAAAAAACCTGTAAGGCTCAAACAAAATTCTGAAAGGAAAAAAATCTGCATTTAATGTAAAGCGGCTTATTTGTAGATACGCTAGACTGTGTGCTATTGAATTCAGCAATTGAGAAAACTAGCAGCCATAACTGCAGAATAAAACATCTATAGGAAGTGAATGTGTGTACAATACAAGCCTGGTGGTCTGTGGATGAAGGAATCTGTCAGCTGTTTATTCTGATCCACCGTACGTATCTTAGAGCTCTGGTAAATAATGCATGTGCGTATTTGTGTGTGAAGAACTCCCGCAGTGCTTGACGTGTACAGCTCTATTAATATACACAGGTCTGCCAGTCATATCTCAGAGGATAGCCATAACCTTTCTCATGTTTTCCAAATATTTGCCCTCGAATTTACAGCTATTCAGAGAGTCTCTGAGGAAAGCTTTAGATGCCGGGTCACATATTCCCATCTGCCTGATGATCTCAAAATCTGAGACACAATCTTTACACCTTACCCCTTTTTTCAGGTTTTTAAGTCTAAGAGAGTTTGAGAGATATAAATCATACAATTATGAAAATCAAAAATGAATTGTGAGTAAACTGCAATTATATCACAATACTTTGAAAAATGTATTTACATGTGTTTGTGTGTGCGTGTATATGAGATATATATTTGAATTATTAACCCCCAGTAAGATTTTTTTCAACACATTTCTGAACATAATAGTTTTAATAACTCATCTCTAATAACTGATTTATGTTATCTTTGCCATGATGACAGTAAATAATATTTGACCAGATATTTTTCAGGACACTATACAGCTTAAAGTGATGGTTTGTTCTGTAGACTATCGAAATAAAATTTAGCCTAAAGGGTTGTTTAGCTTAAAAAATGGTGGTTAAAAAGATAATTACTGCTTTTATTCTAGCCGAAATAAAACAAATAAGACTTTCTCCAGAAGAAAAAATATTATCAGACATACTGTAAAAATTTTCTTGCTCTGTTAAACATAATTTGTAAAATATTTAAAAATAAAAAAAAAAAAATCAAAGGGGGGCTTATAATTCTGACTAACATATAAAATACACAAACACATTATATAATATGAAATAAATACATTTTGTGTAATTAACTAAAACAATATCAATTTAATAAGAAATTACACAAATACACTTTCTAGTGAAGAATAAACTTGGATAAAAATACGACTAAAATAAAACTATAATATAATACATTTAATAAAAAAATTGCACAAACACAAATAAAATATTTGTAATATGAATAACTTTTGTAATTACCTAAAAAATGATCAAAATAAGAATAAATTACACAAACACAAATAAAATTGAATAATAAACTTGCATAATAGTAGGACAATAATATAATATGAAATAAATAACTTCTGTAATTGTTTAAAAATGTTTCAGTCAATAACAAATTAAATAAACACGAATAAGACAACGCAGTGGGTAGCGATGTCGCCTCACAGCAAGAAGGTCGCTGGTTCGTTCTCCCCGTATTTGCGTGGGTTTCCCTCGGGGTGCTCTGGTGTCTCCCACAGTCCAAAGACATGTGGTACAGGTGAATTGGGTAGGCTAAAATAGTCCATAGTGTATGAGTGTGTGTGGATGTTCCCCACAGATGGGCTGCAGCAGGAAGGGCATCCGCTACGTAAAACTTATGCAGGATAAGTTTGCGGTTCATTCCGCTGTGGCGACCTCAGATTAATAAAGGGACTAAGCCGAAAAGAAAACAAATGAATAAAAATTAATAATATAATCTATGATATATGATACAATATAAAATAATATAATATAATATAATATAATATAATATAATATAATATAATATAATATAATATAATATAATATAATATAATATAATATAATATGATATAATATAATATAATATAAAATAATATAATATAATATAATATAATATAATATAATATAATAATTACTTATTTATTAAAAATAACATTAAATAAATGCAACATAAAAAACTACAACACTTTATTTCCCGAATCAAATATAAATAAAGAAGAAATGGAAAAAGTTTGCAAGATTTGAATATGACCTCGATGTATCAAAGAAAAGTTCAAATCTGTTTACAAAAATCAGCTCTGGGACATAAAAGCGGCTGTATTTGTAGAAACACGCTGTTTTGCCAGAGGTGAAATGCAGTGCAGCACAGCTTTTTTTATTATTATTATTGGGCATCCCTGTCACAGAGGGCTAACGTGTTTTTCACAGTGCCATGCTGTTTATCTGTGTCCGAAACCTCCCCGAGCTATCAGATAAAGCAGTCAGCGCCGTAATTCATGCATGCTATTTCAGTCCATCACCCTGCTGCATGATAAAGAGAAAATCTCTGAAATAATCACTGAGGACGCTGAATATGAAGCACAGGCGACTGCAGAGCTGCTGTACACAAATCCTGCAGAAAGCACAGTTAGTGAACTGTCTGCTGAAGATGATGAAACCCAGAACAATCATTCTTCTTGCTCTCTGTTTCACATCTGACTGCTAGATTCAAATGAGCTCGATTCACAAGTGCTGCAACAAAATAAAGACAGGTGCAGATCATGGAGACAGCGGTGCAGACGCTCATCATATATACTGCACACACTCTCTCTCTCTCTCTCTCTCTCTCTCTAGTCATAGGTTCAAAAGATATGATGACTTATTTAATAAAATAATACATATACTGTAATGAATAATGAAGACCATCTTAAATAATTTTTCCTTGTTTGCAACTTTGGGATGAGATTCCTATAAATATTACTACAAAAAAAATAATAATAAATGAATATATAGATAGATAAATAAATAAAAATAATAATTATTGCAACTTTTTTCCTTGCAACTATGTGAGACACACACACACACACACACACACACACACACACACACACACACACACACACACACACACACACACACACACACAAAATAATTATTATTAGGGGGCAGCACGGTGGCAAAGTGGGTAGCACATTCACGTCAAAGCTAGAAGGTCACTGGTTTGAGCCCCGGCTGCGTCAGTTGGCATTTGTGTGTGGAGTTTGCATGTTCTCACCGAGTTTGTGTGGGTTTCCTCAGGATGAATAAGTAATAAATAATTAGACTTAATTAAGAGGTAATATAAAATACAGTCGGATGTTGGATGATATATATAAAATTAATAATCGCCATCATAAAACAATGATATACATAGTTATTGATATTAATGCCTGTTATTACTAGCTATTACTTTCCCCATATTAAATTCAGATCTACTATTATATAAATAAATAACGATTGCAAATATTTTTCTTGTTTGATAAATAACATTAACACTTTTATTCTAATTTATTATGAAACGATAGTTTAATTTTAAATTAATATTGTTGATGTTATAATTGATTATAAAACAAACATAAAATGCTAATTCATTTTTGTCCTTGCTTGTTTGCAAGAACTTTATCATATTTTGTAAAATTAATAATTACCAATACTACTTCCACTGCTGCTAAAAATAATAACATCCACTACTAATTTACTACTGATGTCAGTAAAAAAAATCATTAGAATGCATTATGAAACAAACAAAAAAGTAAATATATAACTAATTAAATAAAATGTGTGTTTTTTATTAGTGTTATTATTATTATTAGGGTGACACGGTAGCTCAGTGGTTAGCACTGTCACCTCACAGGAAGAAGGTCGCTGGTTCGAGTTCCAGCTGGGCCAGTTTGCATTTCTGTGTGGAGTTTGCATGTTCTACCCGTGTTCCCATGGGTTTCCTTCGTGTGCACCGGTTTTCCCCACAGTCCAAACACATGCGCTATACGTAAATTGAACAAGGTAAATTGGCCGTAGTGTGTGAATATGTGTGTGAATAAGTGTGTATGGATGTTTCCCAGTACTGGGTTGTAGCTGGAAGGGCATCCGCTGCATAAAACATATACTGGATAAGTTGGTGGTTCATTCTGCTGTGGCGACCCCAGATGAATAAAAGGACTAATCCAAAGGAAAAATGAATGAATGAATGAATGAATTATTATTATTATTATTATTATTATTATTATTATTTTTATGATTATTATTATTAACAATACTTATATTTTATTATGCCTGATTCATCCTTGCAGCTTGCTGAACATTTTTTTATTCATCATTGTATCTCACTGTGATCTTAAAACAGCTTGATGGTATAACAATGAACTAGACTAGTGTATGCAAAAGTGCACTAAGCACTAGTTTAAAATTAACCGTATACTATAGACTACAGCGCTGGTCAGTACTCAGACCAAAACAGCAGAGACCCTGGCCTGAAAATAAGCCTGTAGTTCTGATGTTATTCTACTAAAACAAGCCGTTTGTGAAAAACACGCCCATGAGCACATCACAGATTAGCATATTTCCATCAATTCATCTTAATCTCTAGTAAATTAGATCAGCCATTTTTATCTGATGAACCAGGATAGAGTCGGTTCTTGTGGGAAAACCCAAATTGAGCTTTGCGTCATTGTTGGCAAAAGCGTGACCCAGCCTGTTCAGGCATCTGACGTGCTGATTTCAATAACTCGCAATCAAACTGAAGGTCATAAGTCATGTATCTTATCGGTAAACGTCTCCTGAGGGGATACAGTTTCCATTGTGCTTTTCTGAGTCCTCAGTTACGTAACAGCCCAGTGTTTTTAGTGTGCTGGAAACTCTCCACACAGAGACAGAGACTAAACATTTTTGAGGGTGAGGAAGGTTATTATTAGCCATGAGCCAGATTTCTTGGAGAGCTGAAGAACAAAGGTACGAAACTCCTACCTGCGCCATATCATCCAGGCAGTTGAAGATGTATTTGCGAGCCTCTTTAGATTTGATGCCCGTCTCTGCCTCGTGGTCCTCGGGGGTCTGAGGATTCAAACATGATTATATTGTCAACATTATCCTGGTGATTTTGTGGTCAGTGTCAGTGTTTTAATTAATGAATGCTACAGATCTATTTAAATTTATGTCGCTATACTTGATATATTTAAATAATTAATACAAACATTAATAAAAACTATACAAACATTTAATACATAAACTTTAACTAATATTTCAAACAAAAATAAAAACTTGATGTATCATAATAATTAAAACAAAAATAATAAACACCACACAGGTGTATAAAATAAATAATAAATAAATGATTTACCAAAATAATTAAAACAAAAATAATAAACAGGCATATAAATAAATAAATAAATAAATAAATAAATAAATAAATAAATAAATAAATAAATAAATACTTGATGTACCAAAATAATTAAAACAAAATAATAAACAGGCACATAAAATACATAAATAGATACTTGATGTACCAAAATAATTAAAATAAAAAATAAGAAGGCATATAAAAACAAACAAACAAACAAATACATAAATAAACAAACAAATAAATAAATAAATACTTGAAGTACCAAAAAAAAAAACAGGCATAAAAATAAATAAATAAATAATTAAATTAATAAATAATTAATAAAATAAATACATAAATAATTAATTTACCTAAATAATTACAACAAAAATAATAAATAGGCATATAAATAAATAAATAAATAAATAAATAGATAAATAAATAAACAAAATTAATACTTGAAGTAATAAAAAAATAATAAACAGGCATGTAAAAACAAACTCATAACAAACAAACAAACAAACAAACAAATAAATAAATGATTTAAGTAAAAAAAAAAACACTGTATAATTCAAAAAGTAACTGAGAACTTTAAAATTGCTGAACTCTAAAAGATTAACCTTATCTTTGGGAAGTACTTGACTACTTGAGTATTTCTACAGTCAGATCTAAGCATTGAGGGCCAAAAAAGTTTATGGGATTATTGACTACGCAGGAAAGAAACTTTTTGTAGTTTTATTGGATCTGTATTATATATTTATATGGGGGGTTGAGAATGAAACTTGCAGGATCACTGGGGTTCAATAACATCAAAGTTTCCCCATCTGAAGCTTTGTGAAGTTCACAGAAAGTTAATCTGAAGAGAAAACTCTATTGACTGTGGGCAAGCAGCCACCGGCCCGGTACGGATGGGGGAATGTGGAGAGAGACAAAAGGGAAGAAGAATGGGAACGGGACGTTAAGCAGGATTTATTCCACATCGCTCCGGTTGCCAAGTCTAACATAAAACTCGTTCAGCTCACATGAGCCTCTCAGTCTGTTTACAGTGTGTTGCAGACACATTCGTTTAGAGTAAAGATAATTCCCATAAACAATAGTCATTTAAATGTAATTAATTGATACATATTTAACCTAAAAATCAACAGTATCGTACATGTACACAATTGCAAACTGTTTGTGTTACTGTACGTGTGTTATTTAATTCCCAAATATACACAGAATTATGTGGATGTTACTGAAAATCTGGAGAATAAGAAAAGGTCAACATTTGCTAATGAATGTTCGTAATATGCTGAAGGCCTATGCCATTAAGTTATAACTTATTAACCCACTCACATGGAAAAAAATGTTTCATTTTTATTTAACTTAACAAAGCTAAATATACCAGCTGAGTTAGATGATATGCTAATCCATTTAAGATAATTAATCAATCTGATAATGGAACAAAACAACACACAAAACACGTACACACACACATACAGCACTCAGCATATATGAGTACCCCCCCCCCCCTCAAATCTCTAATTTAACAAATGTTTTCTATAGGATGCTTCACAATATTATATTTGTGCATGTACATTAGTTTAGTCAGTACTGAAGCCAAATCTGGAGCTAATCTAACAAAATAACTTTGGCTGCGTCCGAAAACGCATACTTCCATACTATATAGTACGCTAAAATTAGTATGCGAGCCGAGTAGGATGTATGTCCGAATTCATAGCATTCGAAAAACAGTATGCAAGAAGTACCCGGATGACTTACTACTTCCGGCGAGATTCTAGAGTGCGCATCCCATGCATGCTGCGCTATTTCATAATGCCCCGCGAGCGAATTCATGAATGGGAGTAAAGCGACGCAATTGACGCAGGCAGATCACGTGACCATGACAAAATGGCGGATGTAATACGTCCGAATTCCATTCATACTTTCCACATTCATACTGTATAGAACGTACTTTTCTAACGGCCGAGTAGTACGTTTAAGTTCAAATGCAGTACCTACTGAGTAGTAGGCAGTTTCGGACGCAGCCTTAGAGTATTGGTTCAAAAAATAGTAGCCCAAATTTATTGCTAGGGAAAAATATTAAATACGATTTTCAAAAATAGCAGAAATCAAGAGAAGCAAAAAATATCTAAATTTTTGTTGAAATTTTGTAGGTTGTAATTATTTTCTTTTGCAATATTTTGCATGAATTTAAATGTATTATCTTTCAATTTCTAAAGATGTTCTGTGACTTAAATATTATTTTAAAAAATATGTCTGTTTAATAAATCTGTTTTCTTTAAATGCACAAATATATATTACCCATATTCACTGAGAAATGGATAAAAATATTCATTTTCAAAATGTACTCATATATGCTGAGCACTGTATATACCCTAAACCAGTGGTTCTCAAACTGTGGTACATATAGGGCACTCATAGAATTTTTTATTGGAAAAACGTAGAAGTTGCTAAAGATTATTTCAAGACTTTTGAACTTTTATAAAAGTATAACTCTATAACTCTCTAGTTTAGAGAGAAAAAACAACAACAACAATACTGCATATCATATGTAAAGTATGAAGACAGATTGAGGAAGTGTTAAAGAGCATGACAGAATTTACCTTCAGTCTCCATAGAGGATAGGTGGAGTCGGGGTCTCTGTTGAAAAACCTGGTTGTTTTCGTCCCTGCACTTAACAGATACTCTGCTGGCAAGCCCTGCGTTTGAGAGATGTAGCGGATCTGTAGGAAGACATAAACACAGGCCATGTGAGATTTACACCTAATGTCACACATCTGCTGCTGCACTAGTCACCGCTTTAGATTTTTTTCTTGTGGTTTTATATATTGTGAGTATGTAGTCATAATGCAAGCTTTCTCCTCAAAGTCATTTTTATTGAAATTAAGCTACAAAAATGGGTTATTATTAGTCCCTGTCATAATGTCAAAGTCAACATGAAGTAATGACATTTTATAAATAATATTTTTTACAATCCACTTCAGTTCAGACTGTGGAAGTAACATTGGGCTGTAAACTATACATTTCATGTACACTGGGAAAAAAAATTATATAAAACACTTTATGCAATAATAATAATAATAATAATAATAATAATAATAATAATAATAATAATTATTATTATTATTATTATTATTATTATTATTATTGTTATTATTATTAAATATTTTAGCTGTTTATAATTATTATTATTAATAATAATAATAATTATTATTATTATTATAAAAAACGAAAATATTTTTTAAAAGTATTATTGTTATTATTTTTATTGTTATTATTATTATTATTATTATTATTGATATTATTATTATTATTATTATTATTATTATTATTATTATTATTATTATTTCATCCCTTTTCTAACACATAGTACAGTAGCAAGCCCCGCCCTACTGTCTTCTGATGATCAGGGAGTGATGGTGGAAACGGTCAAGGAAATGAGTTAATTCACTTTCTGGTGCAAGAAACCTTGGCTAACGCTGCGAGCCGACTTCTGGGAAAAGCAACAGTGAGCTGCGTTAAAACAGACTGATGACATTTTGTCTGCTCGAAAACATATCAGTCACTTGGCTGCCATTCTGATGACACAGCTTCAACATTCCAGCATGAGAAGCAGAGTAAACAGCATCTGTGATGAATGCTGTCTCCAGCAGACTGATTTCCCCTGCCAAAACCTCTCCTTACAGGTCTGCCCGTGCGCTGCAATTACACACAATGCCATTCACACACCTGAAAACGGAAATACAAGAACCTGGCAGCCCAAGGAATCACAAATAATAATGGTAATAACAATAATAATCTCTTCCACAGCCCCTGCCAATCTCATACCCTGAGACCAAACGCAAGAGACCTTGATGAGTGCGTTTGGCTCATTTGAAAAACCGAAGCACACATTTGTTTCCATTCACTTTTTTAGCATCTTGCTGTTGATTTCAAAGTGCGGTAATTAGAAACGAGCCAACGGTGGCGCAAAGGCTGAAAATAACTTATTAAGCTTTCTGTTTTATTGGGAAGATCAAAAATATAGTGAGCAACCAAGGTTGAAATGCCAACCTGTGACATTTTGGAAAAAACAATTTTAAATTGAGTTTTTGCTTCAGTTTTAGAGCGAAAGGTCCAGTTAGTGGTGTTTCAGATTTAGAAGAAAAAGATAAACCAGACTATGGTAATATTTCCGATTTGGAAATCTCTGCTTTATCATGTTTGAAAAAAAATCTACTTATGCTAAACTAAACCAACAATAAGGTTCAAGTGAAAGATCATTTTACTTGCCCTACTGGACAAGTAATCTGATTAAAACAAACTAGGGCTGTTGTGATTCTGATTTTATTAAATTTGGCCTAAACAGCATATATTAATAATTTAATAACATGTGGGACCATTTGCGCTTACATTTGTAAGACATAATCTTGTAGTATAAACATAAAGAAATCATTAATATTCAATCATTACATAAATCAATATCATTTTAAAGCCTTTGTTTTCTTCTTTTTATTTCCTGGGACTGATTTTTCATTGAAATTATTGAGCAACAGTTATTTATTCAATTGTGACAAGGAGTTGTAAAGGATTACTTTGCTACAGCAATCCACATCTAAAATCACAAAAAAAAACTGTTACCAAAGATAACTTTTATATATTAGAAAACAATGGCGTAAACATGTTTTAAATATTATGGACAAAACTTTAACAAACATTGCCACAGTTTTTAAAAATGTCTTTAGAGGCTAAACTCGAATCAATTATCAAATAAACGGTCCATACTTTAGAATTTGAGATCTAATTTACAAATATTGTGAAAAGTATAAAAAATATGATTCATATCGCTCAAGCATACAGAGGAATAGGGGACGACCCTTTTATGGTCACCAACGGAAACTGAAAACCATCTGGTGGTCGTGTGTGGTACTACACCCAAATTAAACCTTGCTAAAAGCTTTGTTTAAGCAACCCAGGCTCATTCTGAAAACATAGTCCAGTGGACGTTTCTGGAGACCGCGAAATACATCCCGGGAGGTACGTATGGCTGCATTTCATTTTTTTAAGTGAACGCTACAGGGCGGTGTGATGCCGTTCCCTTTCGCGCTTGCTGGCTGACCGCTTACCTCCGTGTGGAGGGCTTTCCCGTTGCAGTCAGTTTGTCCGGTCAGCTCATCGTGTGCGTCGGCGGACTTCAGATGCAGAGAGGAGGAGTTGACAAAGGCATCCGCGTTCGAGTCCAGAGAAAAAGCGGTTCCAGAAACCAGGTAAGACAAAAATAGAATCCAAAAAATAAAGCGAACGAGTTCATAACAGGGTGAGAACGCGGTGAAATCTGAAAAACAGATGAGGGTTTTTCTTTTTCTAGACGGCTTTTCTAAATTGTTGCTCGGGTTTAGGGAAGTGAGCGGGCAGGCCAATCGGTAAAACTGGTTGGGTTCAGGGAAGGAGGAGGGTGGGTCAGCCGATTGGCCGGTCGCGCGGTCAATCATTCGGTCAGTCAGACAGCGGCCTCTGGTGGGTTCACGCGAGAACAGCGCAGGCGCGAACGGCACTCGCTAGAGACGTTCAAGATACAAAAAAGCGCGCACAGCGGCCTCTTGCGGATTTGCGAAAACAAAAACTGCACAAATACGTACCTCCCGGGACATATTTCGCGGTCTCCAGAAACGTCCGCTGGACTACGTTTTCAGAATGAGCCTGGGTTGTGTTTAAGATATCAATTTCAAGTTTGCAACCCCTTTGTTTAAACTAATGTGGTAAATACAATGAATCATTTATTTCAGTGTTGAGTTTTCGCTAATCTCCTGTAAGAAAGCGTGAGAAATTCCTTATACGAAAGTGCTTAATATTTGATAGCTTCCCAAAAACACAAGACCTCATAAATGTGGCAAATGAGAGGCCAAAAAAAAAACCTCCTATTACTCAGTAGAGCACATAAATGACTGGACACAAATCTGCAAAGTTCTCTCCGAGCGTAGAAGCTTGTTAAAGACGTTTTGGTTTGCTTAGAGGCAGAAGATTGGCCCTGGGCTGCTCTATGAAGCCACAATCATTTTTTAAGAGAAGCCCTCGCTGTAGAGCTCAGGATCTGGGCTAATTGGCCAGTTTGTGGCATCTGTCCAGAAGTACAGCGGGGCCAGAGAGAGATGAAAGTCATGCGGACACACACATGTGCACACACATACATGGACAACAGTCAGATTTGTTTTCTCTCTCTTAAGCACAAACTGTAATTGAGGGTTGTTTTCGCAGCCATTTCTGGAAGATGTCTCTCTCTGCAGGACCATACATTCATTCCAAAATAAAGACTTCATCTCACTTAAAGAACATTATACACAAGATGTTTCTTAACTCTAATTTCAAGTCATTTTTCCAGTTATAAGACATTATTTTTTTAATAGCGCATACTTGTGTCATTACTGGCCACTGAACTGCTAAATGGAAAAAGCCCGGGATGGATTATGGCTGGGGTTAATAGGGCATGACACCTTCCAAACATAATGAACATCAAACATGATGTTTGTTTGAACTGTTGTATACAAGTTGAGACTACTGAAACGCATTACAATATTACAATATGATGGATGTAATTCTGAATATCAGGAATATTGTTCTAATATAATATAATATAATATAATATAATATAATATAATATAATATAATATAATATAATATAATAAAATATTTTTATATAAACTATATATTTTATATAGTTAAATATATTTCTATAAATCTAACTATATAAATACAGTTTTTAAAGTAAGTTAATATACATTACATTACATTAGCAAAGCAATTTTATACTATTTGAACTAGTTTGACTTTTTTTTTTTTTTATTATTTATTTATTTGTTTATTTTTTCAATTTTAATTTCTAATTTGCTTGGTATTGGTAATTTTTTATAAAGTCTTTTATTCTCACAAGTGTCACATTTATTCGATTAACAATGTAAATAATAATATTTACATCTAATATAGCTGTTTTCTGTTTTAATATATTCTACAATTACATTTATTTGTGTGATTAAAAGCTGAATTTTCAGCAGCATTATTACTCCAGTGTCACATGATCCTTCAAGAATCATTCTGATATGGTGTTTTATACTGTATATGTTGCACATATTCTTGCTGACAACAAATAAAAACCAAATGGTTTGGGGACAGTGGTAGTATAAAAATAAAAATAAAAACTAAGTAATATTTTGGTGGTACAATCTAATCCTTAAATAGAATAAAGTTTTGTCAATTTATTTAAATTTTATTTGTTATAGAAATTATTGTCATCTTATTGGTTGTCTTCTCTAAAGCATGCTTAAAAAGTATGATATTTTTGCTCATTAAAAAAGAAAACACTGTAAGACACATTGTCCTGGGGAAAAAGCTCTGTTAGTACTGTAAATAAATAAATAAATAAATAAATAAATAAATAAATAAATAAATATATATATATATATATATATATATATATATATATATATATATATATATAAATATATATATATATATATATATATATATATATATATATTTATAAGTTTAGTGTATAGTACCCTTTTACCATTAAATGAATGCATTCCTGCTCAATAAGGGCACACAATTCTTACAAACAACCTCCTGATGTGAAACCTCTGAACCACAGTGTACTGTATATACAGTAACAAGTCATATCTATCTTGTTTTGTTTCTATTTTTATGTTGCACAGGGGATCAAGGGAATGTTTGGGCAGAAGCTGGTGTCTCAGGTGTACCGATCCATTCCCTGGTAACAGCCGCATGGGAACAGCAAGGATAAAGTACAACAAAATTCCCTAAAATAGAGGTATGGTAGATGCCGGTGCATGTTTAAAGCTCAACTTGCACCTTTATTATAATGCATTAAAGAAGTAGCTGAGTGTGTTACCTGGTCATACTCTGATGCTCCGGGATAAAGAGGCCATCCCAAAAACAGTTCAGCGATCACACAACCCAAAGACCACATGTCTATGGCCTCGCAGAACGGCAGACCCAGGATGATCTCTGGAGCCCTGCAGACACACAGATACAGGAAGAGGATAAGCTTCAACAGCAAAAAACAAGTCAAGAATTATGCAGATAAAGTGAATCAGTTTGGTGCATTAATGAATAAAGTAAAATAAAATAAAATCTAAAAAATTATTTGAGAAAATTAGTAAAATAAAAATGATAATAATAGTTCAATTAAGTAAAAAGATAAAAATACAATGTAATAAAGTATAAAAAATTAAATAAAATATAATGAAATTAATAAAAAAAGAAGAGGAATTTAATTAAATTTAAAGAAAACAATACAATAAAAATATTAGTACATTTAAACAAAATAAAAAAATAGTAAAATAGTACAAAAAATATAAAATAAAACCTAATATAAAAAATAAATAATTACCCCAAAAAAATAATTATAATAAAATTAAATATAAAAAATTTAATAAATAAAATATAATGAAATTAAATTAAATTAAACAAAAAATAAAATAAAAAGGAAAAGAAAGAAAAAAACAATAAAATCAAAAATCAAAAAGTCAAATAAAAAATATAAGTCAAATAAAAAAATTATAATAGTACAATCAAATAGTAAAATAAAATAAAATATAAAAAATAAAATAAATAAAATATAATGAAATGAATAAAAAAAGAAAGAAAAATTAAATTAAAGGAAAACACAAAAAATACATTTTAGTAAAATAAAAATAAATAAATAATAGTAAAACAAAACATAAATAAATAAAACAAAAAATATCAAATAAAACCAATTATTAATATAAATAAGCAAATAAAACAAGTATAATAAAATTAAATATAATTAAATAAATTAAATAGAATATAAATTCAAATGAAATTAATTAATTAAAAAGGAAAGAAACTAAATTAAAACAAACAAAAAAATAAAAGTACATTTACAAAAAATAATAGTCAAATAAAATAACAAAATTACAACAAAATTTTTTATCTTGAATAAAATAAAACTAAAAACATAAAATAAATAAAATTTAATAAAATTTAATTAAATACAAAGCAAAATAGAAAGGAAAAGAAAGGGAAAAACAATAAAATAAAGAATAAAACTAAATATAACAAATACAATAAAATAAAGTAAAATAAAACAAATCCAATTATACTTTATTAATTAAATGGCAAGTAAAACAAATGAATAAATACATATTTTATAGAATAATAAATACAGACAGTAAGTAATAATTTAGGTTAAAATTTCAATTAGTAAAAATGTTAGAAACTTTATTATTATTTATTTTTAAATTTCTTTTATATACAATCTTTAAAAGCCCCCTTTTCCCCTAGAACATTTGTGTATACATTTCTGAAGCAGTCTCATTGTTTATCTCCACCATGGAGACATTTTGGCCCAAACCCAGTTAATGTGCAACCTGTTCTATTGAGCCTGAAGCTGGCATGCGTTACATTGAAGCCGTAAGCCCTCATTGTACCCATTTAAGTTGACTGAGCAGAGTAATAAAGACAAACATCGAACACCGTTCATTGGCACAAACACAGCGGGTTAGCAAAGAGAGAGAGAGTTCTCCAATCTGAGGACACACACATGGTCAACACTTCTGGACACGGAGATGAAGAGAAATAATGCCAGATGGAGGAAAAACAGAGGAGGAAATGTGTGGAAAGACAAAGAGACTGATGCTCAGAAAGGAAAGAGAACAACACACATTTCAACAGGCCTTAAAAGTCCCGTGAAATTAAAGTAGCTTTTTTTAGATGCTAGTATCAGTATGTTAGTCATAAGGATATTTATAAGCTACACTGAAAATAGTGAAACTACTGTGTCTTTCATTCAAAGTACATTTTATATTGGATTAAGTGTAAAATGACAGCTTCTGATTTGAACCAGTGTTGTTCAATTTGGCTTAAAGCACTAAATTTACTCCCTCGGTCAAATTAAAAGCATTAGTATTAATCACAGAAGTATTTTTTACTTTGAACTAATTGTTTTCATGTCATGTGATCACTTCTTGTTTATCAGGTAGTTTTGCCATCTGTCGTCCCTCCACTGGAATGTGAAGACAATGTGGCCAAAGTAAATCTCGTTTACTGTAGATAAGGTTAGCATTCAAACATCGTTTTCATGTAACGTAAGCTGAATTTTTCCCCTAACATCTACAATCTTTTTTTAAAAACATGCTTCTATTCCTACCACTTGGTGTTTAGAGCAACAGTAACGTTAGCTTACGCTCTCAGAAATAAAGGTACGCGATCTGTCACTGGGGTGGTATCTTTTCGAAAGGTACAAATTTGTACCTAAAAAGTCCATATTAATACCTCAAGGGTACATATTAGTACCTAAAAAGTACAAAAGTGTTCCTCTTAAAATTTAAAGCACTTCACGGGACCTTTAAAGATGGGAGAAATGTGACACACACAGAAAGAGAGAGAGAGCGAGAGAGAGAGAGAGAGAGAGAGAGAGAGAGAGAGAGAGAGAAAAGGAAAGAGAGAAAGAGAGAGAGAGATAATAGGCTGACTCATCAGTTTTAGGGGTGTCAGTAAAGCACATCATATTATAAGTAAAAACAAACACTGGATAGAAAACAACCTGTTCCAGACTGTGTTGTTATTGCTAACTAACATCTTGCTTTAAATTACAACCTTGAATATAATAATTTTAGATATATTTAGAAAAACACACAATAAAACCGACAAAAGACATGATAAACTATGAAAATATTATAGTGGTTTATAGAGATGCTCCGGATTTTTGGAGCCGATAATGAGCCGATATCTTGTCATGACCGAAGCGGAGTACTGATTCTGATGCTTCAAGCTTCTTATAACTTTAACACTGCATAAAGCACATTTTCCATTTTACGTGTGATACTTAAGTGGAGATTTCGCCTTACCTATAATAAATGAAGGATGTTGCATTTAATCCATTAAGCACGTATTTTAAAACCATTTAGTGTGGACATGTGATGGTCAGAAACAGCTTCACAGAAAATAATAGAAAAAACAGATAAAAAAAATTGGTAAGAAAAATGACCATCAATGCAATTTGGAAACATTGCAAATGATGGAAGAATAATTCAACGTGTGTCAATGATGAAAACGTTTGGAGTGCATATTTGATGCATAAGAAGTTAAAATGCATCTTCTGCTTGTATACTCATAAACAAACACTTGCAATCTGTTCATGTGATCGGCCAAATTGGCGAGTACTGATCGAGTAATAAAATGTGATTATCGGCTGATACTGATAATCCAGCTGATTAATCCAAGCATCCCTGGTGGTTAATAGTGACACACACACACCACTATCTTTATGGGGGCTTCCCAAAGACAGAATGACTATTATGAGCAAAAAATATCCAACAAGATAAAAATGAACTGGTTTTGCTATACTTATGGGGACATTTGGTCTCCACAGTGTAAGGATATACAGGGTACATACGCACACAAACACACACAATATTAATAAAAACAGCTTCACAATATTACCATACAATTACCTTCTAATATTTTATTTTATTTGAAACAATAAATGGTTCAACCTCCAAACATCTTGACCACAACAGATACAAACCATCGCCACAAGGGCAAGAGAGACTCAATCTGGCAGTTTAATCTCTGATTGGCTCTCAGGCAAGGTGTGTGGCATGTGACATCATCTGTCATGATGTCATCACACCACACAGCCTCAACCTCGATGTCATTCAAACAAGCCACAGCACAGCAGCCGAATGCATCTCTGTGACACGGAGGACACGCACACACACACACATGCAAATACACATCCCACTGCAGTCTCTCCCAATGCCAGATGCAAAGCAGAGCGACAGCTGCTGATGCAGGACTTTCACACACAAACACACACTGCACTAACCATCCTCCTCATTCTCTCACACATAAAACTGCTGCTTGAGATGCAAAAAAATAATAAAAGAAATTTACAGCCTGCTCCATGCAAACACGAGACCTCGTACAGGCATATGTGACACATTTGGGTTCCTTTGTGGTGCATTTTGCATACCTTAAACGTGTCAGGATGTGACCCTGCAGGTGTGTTTGCGTGCGTGTCATTGTGCAGATTACATATAGTGTAAGCATTGGTGATATTCAAGTGCAAACATCCGTTCTCACTGCTGATGTTTGCATGGCAGGACTAATGCACTAATGCTGCTAGAGGCTTATTTTTGTTTTATTTATGATTTATTTTTATTATTTTATTTATTTAATTTTTTATAAAGATTTAACTTATTGTATTTTTTCTTTCACCCTCCATCATAAAAGGGTGAATGAAAAACACAATAAGTTAAATAATAATATTATAGTTAAATAATAATAAAAATAAAAATATGTATACACACGGACCAATAAAAATGAAAAAATAAACAAATAAATAAAAAAATAAACAAACACAAACCAATAAAAATATATAAAAAATAAACACAAACCAATAAATAAATAAATAAATATGCCAATAAATAAATAAATAAATAAACACAAACCAATAAATAAACAAACACAAACCAATAAATAAATAAATAAATACACCAATAAATAAATAAACACAAATAAATAAATAAATAAACCAATAAGTAAATAAACACAAACAAATAAATAAACAAATAAACACACACTAATAAATAAATAAATACACACAAGCCAAAAAAAAAAAAATAAGTAAAAATAATAAAATAATAATACAAATAAATAAATCAATAAATAAATATATGTATACACACTAACCAATTAATAAATAAATAAGTAAAATAATAATAATAATAATATAAATAAATATGTATACACAAACCAATGAATGCATAAATAAGTAAAATAATTAAATATTAATACAAATAAATAAATATATACACACAAACCAATAAATACACACCAATGAATAAATAAATAAATAAATAAATAAATAAAAGAATGAATGAATAAATAAAATAAATAAATAAATAAACCAATAAGTAAATAAACACAAACAAATAAATAAACAAATAAACACAACCCAATTAATAAATAAATACACACAAGCCAAAAA